GAGAAGGCCAACTATAAGGAGAAATGTATCCTGAGCAACCCCCTTCCACCTGGGCAGTGGTTCTCAACCTTCTTAATGCTGCAACCCTTTTTACTACAGTCCCTCACATTGTGGTGACCCCTAACCATAAAATTATTTTTATTGTTACTTCATAACTGTAGTTTTGCTACTATAATGAATCTAATGTAAATGCCTATGTTTTCCAAAGGTCTTAGACGACCCATTGGGTGGTTTGAGCGCACCTCCCCCTAGGGTTGCGACCCACAGGTGGAGAACTGTTACCCTGGTGTTTTAATTCTCCCTCTCTGAGATCTCACGGCATTTCTTTCTGCTCTAAATCATTCCTTAGTTATCAAGTAGCTTTCAGATTTATAATTTAAATGAAATGGGGAGGGGGGTGGGGTTATAGAACGTGTAGGCCCTTCTGAAAGGTACCGTAAGCTTTAGAGAACGTTGTCGGGAGTTCTCATAATCCTGCCTTGCATATGAGTTTTAGTATTGAAGGAAAGGAGACGCTATTGCTTCCAGAACACTGCCTGGCAGGGCACTGGGCCGTGACCCAGTTTTCTACACAACGGTCCCTTCATCTTGGATATGGGTCTCTACCTCTCCTGATGTTCCGGATTGTCGCAATGGAATCTGGGGTCCCGCCCAAAGAGACAGAATGGTGTGGTATGTGGGGACGCAGTACGAGCAGGTCGCAGTGGGGTGACCAGGAAAATGGCACCCGACCAACCCAAAGGTCCTTCTGAACTTGGACCAGGTATTTTAGGCTGGAAATCCAGCCACTCGGAATCCCACACTCCCTAAATTCAGATGGGGCTGAGGTTCTGCCTCGTGCAGCCCTTCCCAATGGTGCCACGGAATAGAAATGCAGTGATTTGGCCTGGATGCCCCACTACTCACTTCCTCGCTGGAGAAAGGAGGCTACACCCCAGTACTTCATCTTGAACTTGGCAGAATCTTCGGTGTCTGTGAAAGTGCCCACCATGTCTGCGCACACTTCCCAGTTGCTGTAAAAGCCAAGAGAATCCTGAGCCAAGTTTGGAAAGGGCTTCAACCCCATCCAAGGTGCTCCTTTCCCTTCCCAGCAAAGAAAGTTGAGCTCCCAGCCAGGATAAGGCAGGAGGGACCATGGAACACTGCCCACAACCCACCAAGAGGCCACTGACCTCAGAATGCGGACTCGGCCCTTGGCTGTGGCGCTCATATGACCTTTCTCGTCCACGGAAAACTCAGCGATGATGTTGTCTTGCAAAAAGAGACCCTCAGGGTCCTTTTTGGCGATGGCGTACCAGAGCCCAGAGAACTGAGAAAGAAATGAGAGAGCTGAGGACTAGAGTTTGGGGTCCACCGCCGGCCCGCAAGAATCGGGGGACGGGGGCTGATACCTACACGAGCCTTGTCGAAGTTCTCCTTGACTCGGAAGCTGCTCACCCTGCAGTCGCGCTCAGCGCTGCCGCCTCCCAGCGCTGCCAGTAGCACGAGCGCCCACACCCACTCCATCTCGCTCAGGAGTCCGCCCTGCGGGACAAGCGCCCGGATGACCGCGAGGCAGGAGGACCGGGCCGCTGGCCGCCCCATCCTGCCCCACCCCGTCCTGCAGCCCCCCGGGGGAGCGCGGCGACTCACCAGCAGGAGCCACGTGCAAGCCTGGCCGCCGCGTTCGCGCGCGCGAGGAGCCAGGGAGGCGAGCGGCTGTCCAGTGCTTTATAGCTCCGGGGGGAGGGGGTCGCGCTTTCGTAACCATGCGGGGTGAAAGACCGCGGGGAGGTGCCGGGGGCGGGAAGGGGGGCGGTTGGGCTTGCATAACGCGCCCTGACTCACCACCCGAACGCACGCGAGGCCCCTCCGCCAGCCTCGCCGCCCGGTGTCGCCTCTGCTCGGAGGTTCGCGCAGGGTGGTCTCGGTGGAGCCAAACTCTCCAGCCCAGACGATCCACGGGGCCAAGAGCTGGCCCGGGGACCAAGCTGCAGCCAGCTGCGGTCTGGGGTGGCCTCCAGGCCCTATTGCCCTGTCTGGAGGCCTACGTGGCCATGGTGTGGTGATGATGGCCTCACTGAGCGAGAAAGAGACCTATGATGCAGCCTGGAACATTAGTGTTCAGGTCCTGACTTTCCCAAGTGGCCCCCGCTTCTTCTGAGGATCTGTTGTGGAGTTTTGGGGGTTATTTTGTCTGTGATTTTTCCCCCCTTTGAAAAAGGGCATACTTTACTCTTTGAGGAGCTGTGGTACTATTTGCGTCAATATTTGATTTTTAGTTTCATCATCTAGAACTAAAACGCTCCCTGTTAAATATTTTCTAGAAACGCCACCTGGTCAGGACAGGAAATATTTTAGCAGCGCCGGTGGCCGAGTGGTTGATCCTCCACTTGTGTTGCCACACTTCCCTGAAACCACACTGACAAACATAACTGCCAACTGTTTACCATACGTTTTTATTTCTAAGCCAAAGTGGGCTTTTTCCCTCCCCCCAAAACAGTGGGGAAAACTGGCTCCGGAGTAGACAAAGGGGAGGGAAAGAATTCCATAACCTTAGTGGTCAGTAGTCAAAAGGCTATTGATTCGCTGCCTATGGCATGACACAATTTACTACGTTTTCTTCTGCTTTTGGAACTTGCAGTCCATCAAAGTGGTCCAAAGGGAAGAGTTTGACCACATGAGATTTAACATTTTTTTTTTTTTTGGCAAGAAAGTATTCGTGTCTCTATTGCCCTAGGTCAGATAGGAGACAACCATTTTTGCCATAGCTAGACCCGAAAATAAGAGGAGTTGGGGAGAGGATAGGAGACACACCACACAAAGAACTAAGTTGATGTTTCCTTAGCCACATCTGGCCACCTTGCAAAGACACCTGTGGCTTCCTTCAGTTTCCTGTGACCTTTTGGACATTGCCTGGTTCTCTGCTTTATGCCCACCCCCACCCACGCAACTCCTGCATCCATTGTATTCCCTGCAGCCATGGTGGCACCAGAGACTGTGTGCTTTAACTCCATAGGACTCCACAATTAGGGAGGACTTTCTAAACAGCAGACTAACTGGGAAACTGGACTGGACTAGTTTTACCAAAGGATGTACCTTGCCCCTCAGTATCAACAGGGGCTTGATTTCATGAAGCACCCCATGGACCCCTCAAATCCAAGAATGTCCAAATCCTTTGTATAAAATGATGCATTTGACGATAATCTACATATATCCTTGGGTACATTTCGGCATTCTCTGGATTATAATGTTTGATAAAACAAATGTTGTGTAAATAACTCTTGTGCTGTATTATTTAAAGAATGACAAGAAAACAAAACACTAAGTTCAATTTAGACTCGTGTGGCATCTTGCTATGCAAACTGTTGTTAACTGTATTATGCTGAATAATGACAACCGGTCAGTAGAGACTTGGACACTAGAGCCTAACCACATGGCTCATAAACAAGCCGAAGGTGTCCAATTCTCCGACACACATGCTGGAGAGAGGCTGGGGTCTGTGGGATTGTGGGAGGTCACCACGGGCTGTGCAACACATCATATTTCCCCGGACTCAGCAGAGTGCTTGTTTTGCAGTAAATTCAATTTGTTTCTGTGTTTTGATTTTCTCTGTCATTTTCCTTGAATATTTTTGGCTCACTGTTGGTTGAACCCACAGATAAAGTCGAACAGTGATCCCAACCAGCTCAGATATGACATGCTCAGGAGAATGTGGCGGAACCATGTGTTTTGTGATGTGTGTGGTCCATGTCTCTGCACCCAAGGAGGCCTTCAGGGTACCCTCCCTGGCACCTACCCCACGCTGTATGTCCTCTTCACACTCCAGAACTTGAGCGACAGCATGCCCATTGCCTCTGGATGAGGATTTCTGAAAGAAAAGTTCTGGAATTGCTCCGATCCTTTCAGCCAGTTCTCCTGGAACACATTCTGGTGGTTCTGATGCTTGCTGCGTATGGAATGAATGTAGGGGTGTCAGTGCGTCTTCTCTCAACAGTATGTATTCATTTACATGCTAGGTTGAAGGTGACCAGTCAATCCTTGCCTCTCCCTCCTCTCTTCCGTTCTCCCTTCTTCTTCCCTCTCCCTCCTCTCCTGTGCTCCCTCTTCTCTCAAACCATGATGTTTTAGATCCCAGAAAAGAAAAACAGTTTATTTTGGCATTCTATCCTGGATTTCTTCATGATTACAAATACGTGAATTCAGGTCAACTGACGCTATGAACATCATAAATAACTTTTTAAACATGCATACACAGGTATCCAAAGGGAGGTATTTACAGCGGTTACCCTATACGATAGGATTTGAGACACTTAATGTTTATTTTTCTTTGTACCTTCTGGATTTTTCTTAATTTTTGTGCAGGTAAAATGTCAAACATAAACCAAATACGTCATTTGCCAACATTTTTATGAGTAGAATTGTGTTTTGAGTTTGCATATGATTCACATAACGTTCATTTTTGCCATCCCTCACTTCAAGGCTGATAGTGGCTGTCTCTTTTCTTCTATAACACATATCATTTGCACAGGACAGATGCAGAGTTACCTTCCTTTAGTGAAATCAATGGCTTTTCAGTGTAAAGTTTGTTTTTTACACAAGCTTTATCTAAACGATACACAAAAGTTAAAAGTACCTGGGTTAGTGGTGTAGACAGTTTTTGTTCTTGCAGAGAACTCAGGTTCGAGTCCCAGAATCCACATGACAGCTCACAGTTGTTTCAGGGGATCTCTCGGCAGGTACCAACCATGCATGTGCTGCGTATATATACATGCAGGCAAAAACGTTCATACACATAGAATAAAATCTACTTTGCTTGTTTGTTTGCTGTGCCACCACCATTTGGCTTGAAATAAATATTTTTTTTAAAGTTATTTATTTTAAAAATAAAAGGTGAAAAGTAGCAGACTAATGTAACCGACTTTCTGGGTGTTCAATAATCGCGCGGGGAGGTCTATATCAGTGTGGCTATAGGGACTAAAAGGCAAATATTTGGTCTTTGTCTTCCAAGGTTAACTAGGTCCTAGGAGACTATGGGCCATCTGCAAACGGTCCTGAAGCTCTGTCAAGTCACCTGTCTGATGGAGACCAGACCCAGAGGCTGGACCTAAGCAGTGCCCAGAGGCAGGATCTAAGTGGTGCACAGAGGCCGGACTAAGCAGTGCACAGAGGCTGCACAGAGGCTGGACCTAAGCAGTGCACATTCTGCAAAGAAGAGGGTCAGCACAGTCGGCAAGAGCCTGACTCCTCCTCAACAGGTGACACAACCTGGAAGGAAAGAGGGGGGGAGAGAGGGGGAGGGGGAGAGAGAGGCTGATCTGATTAATTAAAGGAGCCTGGGTTCTCCTGAAGTTCAAGTAACCCTTGAGGACCAGACCTTCAGCTGACTTTGATAATAAAGAAAGGGTTAATTTTGGTCACCTACATAGTCTTAACACCCATCAGGAAAGTATAACCAAAGATTTAAAGGAATGATTTCTTTTTAACAGTCTAAGGAATACCATTTGATGATGACCCAAATGTCGTATATATTATAAATCCATATACTGATGCCAAGTATTTACTTTATTCCAATTTATCTTGCTCAGTACTACAAGAACACATTTTATGATAATGTTTAATATGTTAATTGTGCCAAATCAGTGGTATTTGCTGTGGTATTTCTATACATTCATATAGCACATGTTGATTATGTCTAACGACTGCTCTATACTCCCCTCACTCTTCTTCCCTGCCCCCCCACCGTCTCCCACCTGCTTCCTGTTCCCTGATAAGCAATCTTGGAGTTTCAGGCCATTAGACCCATCTTTCTCTGTATGAGAGAAAGCATGTGATACTTGTCTTTCTGCATCTGGCTTATTTTGTTTAACACAATGGACTTGAGTTTTATCCATTTTCTTACAAATGATAGAATTTCATTTTTGGCTGAATAATAATACTCCATTATATATAAATTATATATTTGCATCTAAGTTACAACTATATATTACACACAAATTACATATTTTTCTTCATTTGTTGATGAGCACACAGGCTGATTCCACCTCTTTTTTTTTTGTTTGTTTGTTTGTTTGCCTGTTTTGAGACATGGTTTCCTCTATGTAACAGGTCTGCCTATGTTGGAACTTGCTTTGTAGACCATGCTGGCCTCAAACTTGCAGAGATCCGCCTGCTTCTGCATCCCATGTGCTGGGATTAAAGGCATGCACCATCATGTCCAGCCTGACTCCATCTTGTGACTACTGTGAATAATGCCACAGAAACCATGAGTGCAGTGTCTCCTCTTTCCTGGCTCCATTTCCTTTGGGTATACATGCAGGAGCAGGCTAGCGGGATCCGGGAGTTCTGCTGTTCCTTGAGGACTCTCCAGACTGCTTACCACAGTGACTGTGATGCTTCCCATACCTCCCATCAGTGCACAAGGTCCCCTTCTCACCGCATGCTTGCCAGCATCTGTTGTTCCGTAGTGACCCTTCTACCTAGATGAGATACAGCCTCAATACAACTTCAGTTTACACTTCTCTTAGACCTAACTACATGCGAGATTTTTCTCACGTATCTAGTTACAATTTGTATTTGTCCTTTGAAAAGTATCTACTCAGATCATTTGCCAGTTTTTAATGTCATTTAAAGTATTTTTTTGTTAAATTGCTTTTGACAGTCCCATCCATGAATTAACGAGTTCTGATTATTTTCATCCCGTTGTCTCCCACACACCCTCCTCACAAGTCCCTTTCTGATGCTCTTATGTTTAACTAGGCCACCTGAGTGACCACAGGTTTGGATGGGCTATCCATTGGAACTTGGAGATTTTTACACGTGATTTTATTTATAGGCTGTGTTATATTACTTTTTTTTTTGTTTGTTTTTGTTTTTCGAGACAGGGTTTCTCTGTAGCTTTGGAGCCTGTCCTGGAACTCCCTTTGTAGACCAGGCTGGCCTCGAACTCACAGAGATCCGCCTGCCTCTGCTTCCCGAGTGCTGGGATTAAAGGGGTGCCCGGCCTACTTTTTTTTTTTTTTTTACTTATGTGCATGTGTGCCCTCAGAGGCCTGAGAGGGCATTGTATGAATCCTTGGTATTTCAGGTGTCTGTGAGTCAACTGATGTGGGCACTGAGCTCTGAACTGGGTCCTCTGACAGAGCAATAAACACTCAGCTGCCGATCCATCTCTCCAGCCCCAGTGCTACTGGTATTGATTTATATGTGGGGAACTATCCTTGCATTCTCGAAATGAGACCAAGTGATAGGACCGGATGGCTTTGCTGTAGAATTTTGTCAATTTTTTAAAGAAGAAAAGTACTTCTCAAACTGCTTTGAAGAATTGAAAGAAAGGGAACTCTTTATTAAAAAAGTTTCAAATTTGTGTGTGTGTCTGTATATCCATGTATGCCTGTATCTGTATACGTACATGCACATATGTGTGAGGGTGTCCTCAGAAGTTAGAAGCAGCTATTGGGTCCACTGGAGTTGGAGTTATAGGTGATTATGAGCCAAGCCACCTAAGTGGGAGCTGGGATCTGAACTCTGGCCCTTTGCAAGGGCAGTAGGCAAAGCCCTTTTAATAGTTGATCTATCTCTGCAGCCAAAGAGAGGGACTCTTTCAAACTTACTCTACAAGTCCAGCAACACCTTGCTAACAGGTTAAACTGGAGAGAATAGTCCTCTCCTCTCTCAAAATTTCTGAGCCCCCCAGTACAGCCTCAAAAGTCCTGTAATTAGGATGCAGCCAACATTCCTAGACTTCTTTTTGTCTTGTTATTGTTTAGTTTTAGAGGAAACTTGTTACCGATCCAATCTCACTGCCTGCTGTTGCTTGATTTGGGTTTTTCATATCTTAACTAGGACCAAGGGCCACCATCTAAGGATGAAGGAACAGTCACCAGGCACAAGCCCTCCTGAGAGGAGACTTGGTGCCACACAGCAGGAATAAGAAAATGTGGGCACCTTACGAGACCCTTTGGGGTAACAGGCAAGTCACCACCGTATACATGGGCTTAACTAACTAATGCTGACATGAATTCTGTTCCCCTGGGAAAACCATGTTGTAACTAAGAATTTCAGTTCCTGGCCTGAACGCTTGCAGCCTCGACCTCTCTCATTTGTGACTGAGAGTGCTGGCATCCTAGTGAGGTAGAGTTTTGTGTTTATAGACGTAAATGATACCTGCACACTGTCCCTTAGAAGCCAGTCTGAAAGGGGTACGCTAATAATTCAAATTCGCTGTTTTTCATTTCAGCCTTTATCTTGTGATGTTTGAAGCTTTACTGAAACAGTTAAAAAAAAGATAAGGGCTTGGAATTGGTCCTTAAATATTCAAGCCAACTGGATTGGGAAATGTTTAGTTTGATTTAGGAGATGTGTGATAGTTTTGATTGAGGTGGTGTGGATAATAGACCCTAAAGTTTAATAAAATAAACATTAAACGAAACTTAGTAGCGCTGTGTGCTCTGCTCGCTAGCAGGCCCTGAGATGTCAAGGTTCCTAGCAACAGATGGCAGCTTGTGTAATAGGCTGCCTCAGAGGGGGGAAAATGTATGATTCCTAGCTACTCCGACCGAAAACAAATATGTTTATTTGGTATATTAAACAAACTAATATGCTTAGAGGCAGAAAAGTCAGTTAGAGATGGCATGATCACCTCTGCAGTCGTGTAGTCTGTGGGTCCTCTGAACTTAGATGGCAGGCATATTTTAAACTGTGTTTAACTCTCTTAGTAATAAGCCCCAGTTTTGTTCCTTTCAAGTGGCTCTAAGATCAAGTTTTCTTACATGAGGGCCATTGGGAAAGGAGATTTTTTAGGGAAAGGGTGTAACAGGATTTCTTTTCCTTTTAGGCCATCAACCAGCTTCCAAATCAGGACATAGAGACTTATTAGTTATGAATGCTCGCCTCAGCTTAGGCCGGTTTCTTGCTAGGTCTGATACCTTAACCTGTTTCTCTTCGCCTATGTTTTGCCTCGGGGCTTTTTACCTTCCTTTCTTTCTGTATATCTTACTGTCCTGCAGTCTCCAAGTCTGGCTGAGGGATGCCTGGATTCTGGTCCAGGGCATGTCCTTCTCTTTCTCTCTCATTTTCTTCTCCTCCCTTTCTTTTCCTCTCTTCTCTCTGCCTATCAATCTCGCTTATGCCTCTCCTGCCTAGCTAGTGACTGTTCAGCTTTTTATGAGACCAATCCGGTGCCTTAGGCAGGCAAAATGAAACAAATGTAGTATATCTTTACATCATTAAGCAAATGCAGCACAGACAAGTGTAACACACCTTCACATAGTTAAAGTTAATATTCCACAGCATAAACAAATGCAACACATGCTTGCTTAATTAAACTGGCATTCCACAACGAGAGGAGAGTAGACAGAACAACTGGGGGGAATCAAAGAGCTTTGGAGAAGAGGGAAGATTTAATATTCATTTTTGTGCTACTTGGATGTGAAACCCTTCTGTCTCCCATGCCAATGCGCACTGAAAATGATTCAAGCTGCTACATACACAAAACACAAAACCCCAAGCACCTCTGAGGTCTATACACAAGCCATCCTGATAGCTATCACAGTTTAAAGGGTCTGCCTATGCTACTGCAAGGTAACCAAGGGAGAGGTCTGGGATTCTTCTTGGCTTTGGACAACAGACATTGCCGCTTGACTCCTGCCTGGCTGTTCAGAGGTTCTCTGGTGATTCTCGAGGACTTAGGGGCTAATAATGCTGAGGGATTTTGGGCCTGAAAGGGCTGACTAATCCACTGCTTCTGGGCTCTCATAAGCCGAGGTCTCAGGCCACGTCCCAGGCAGTTTGAGAGAACGGCCAAGCAACCTTCCTGCTTTCCCTTTGGGGACCTAAAGAGGTATCACTGAAGCTTCCTTGATGATTTTGGCCAGGATGGATTTCCTTTTCGCCATCCTGGCCCCAGTGTCACTCTGAGGGACCTTCCTCTCTGGACAGCAGCATCAACACAAGCCACACCATGGGGGAGATCAGCCAAGATGCTGTGGAGAGATACCTGGAAGAGAACCCTCAGTTTGCCAAGGAGTATTTTGACAAGAAGCTTCGGGTGGAGGCGCTGGGGCCGATCGTCCAAAACAACCATCCAGGGGTTCAGGCCAGCATGTCTCTCCCTGAGATGGCGCAGGTGGAGGAGTCAGCCCTGTGCCTGGAGCTACTGCAGCAGATGCAGGACGAGGCAGGCAGTGCCGAGCAGGTGGCTCACAGGGCCCTGCAGAGGCTGGTTCAGCTCCTCCAGGCTGACCGCTGCAGTATGTTCGCATGCCGAGCCAGAAATGGTACACCCGAAGTGGCCTCCAGGCTGCTGGACATCACCCCAACTTCTAAGTTTGAGGACAACCTTGTGACCCCTGACAGAGAAGTCGTGTTTCCGTTGGACATTGGGATAGTTGGCTGGGTCGCTCATGTGAAGAAAGCCGTTAATGTCTCAGATGTGAGAAAGGTAGGTGGCCCTTCCTGTAGTAGGGCAGAGGTCTTGTCACAGACCTAGCCAGACTACAGTTAACAAAATACAAGGCGCCCATCGAAGCTGGGTTTTAGAGGAGCAGGGAATACAGTTTTTATTGTAAGTGTAAGTGAGTCTTGGAGTGTTTCTGTTTGTTTTCGTTTTTTTTTTAAAATCAGGTGCTCCTGGCTGGCTAGGTCTAGTATGTTCCTCATCTTCTCCCCCATTTCCTCCATTGCTTTGGGGACTACCATTGTGCCAAGCCCACTAGGAGATTAGCCAGCACACCAAAGTCTAGCACAGGGAACCGTTCCCAAGCCTCTTGGTCACAACCCTTGGAGGTTTCTCTACAATGAACTGGCTAATACACAGATTCTTCCATCCATAGGTCCACGGTGCAAAAAAGAAAGTGTTTCTCCTATTCAAAGTTTAAAATCTTTGACTTGAATCCTCACAAATGTGGATTTAAGTGATTCAGTGCCCATCCCCCACAACTGGGATGATTAGCCGCAAGTTCCAGTGGTTACACATTCCAATTATATAAGGAGGCCTTTGCATCCTGCTAATGGCCAAGACATCACTGTCCTAAGACAAGGCATCGCTATGGTCCTTATGGAAACAGAAAAGGCGGCTCTTTCTTCTGACCACTGGCACACATGGTCGTTTTAGAAAAGCATTATAAAATGCTAATCACCCATAATCCCTCACTGGGAAGCACCCAGAGTGCTGGCTGGCAGTTTCTGCCGGCAGTGCCGTCTTCCACACATGTCCGTCCCATTACCGTGACTTACTGTTAACAGACGGGGACACCCCTGTTCTGATGGAGGGGAGATGAGTCAGAGGGCAGCCCCTGGAGTGCCTTCTGTTCAGAGTTCATAAACTGACTCGTGACTAAGGGCAGCTGAAAGGTCGGAGATAATCTCCAAATACCTCCTGAATCTGATTACAGGAGGCTTACCCAGACAGAGGGGATCAGTGCGTCAAACATTAGCGCCATTCCGCAAACAACCGCAGGACGCTCCTCAGGTCCAAGGGTTGATCTGCTCTAAAGACTGCATCCCTTGACCCCAGCTCACAGGCTATGTCCTGATGTTTTCGAATGAGAATATACTTCTTCACATCTCCAAAATTACAGACATCAAACTTCAGAATCTGATGTGTGCCATTTTTTTTTTCTGAGACTTTTTTTTCCTAAGGCGAATTGGGCAAAATGATTTCTGGTAGGGAGGAGATAACAGCAAGAATGTACCCTGGCCTGTCTTGTCCCTGGAGCGTCGCAATAAGGGTGATGGACAGCAACCTATGGTCTTGGGCTGTCAAGTCTCATCCCTCCAGAGAGGGTGTTCTCTGAAACTGAAGAGCATATACTAAGTGCCTCCACAACCTGTTTCTCAAGTCCCTGACTTAGAGCACTTACTCTCCAAACTCGGCCATCAATCAAGTATTGCCGTGTGTCAGCATTACCTGCTGCGGCTGCTGTAGGAGTTTATGTCCAAGGAGATCCATTTCTTTCTCTTCTCTCAAAGGAAATAAAGTGTGACGGGAAAGACCTTAGCTTGAGGAAACCTTTGGAGAACTGGCAAGCACTGGCAGTGGCAAGGGGACCAAACAATCCAAGGGGGCAAGAATTTTAATGTGCCAGACACGATGACACACGCCTACAGTCCCAGCACTTGGAAGGCAGAGGCAGGAGGAGCTCTCTGAGTTCAAGACCAGCCTGGTCTACATAACAAGTTCCAGGATAGTCAGGGCTACATAGTGAGACCTGTCTTGAGAAATATTAATCAATCAATAAATAAAATAAAAATAAAAACAGTACACAGCATACCTAAACTTACGGGACACAATGAAGGCGGTTCTAAGAGGCAAGCGCACAGCACTAATTGCCTAATTTAAAAAAAAAAATTGGAGAGATCTCATATAACCTAGCAGCACACCTGGGAGCACTAGAGCAAAAAGAAGAAATCATACCCAAAATGGCAAGAAATAATCAACTGTTTATTGAAATCAGTAAAATAGAAACAAACAAATTAATTAAAAACCAATAGAAAGACAAGGAAACCGAGAGTTAGTCCTTTGAGAAAATCAACAAGAACCATCAGCCTTGGGCAGGCAGCCTTCTTTCCAACCAGTCTGGATAGAACCTAAGCGTTCAGTGACCAGCTTCCCCAGTAGGAAAGGAAACAGCATGGGGCGCGCGGGGGGGGGGGGGTATCTCAGCTTCCTGTTGTTAAAAGATTTCCTCCTTTTAACTTGGTCTCAGCCATCAAGAATCACTGACCCTTTTATTAACCAAGCACACCTGGTCCCCAAATTCCTGCTCATACGATTGCTATGGAATAAAATGACCCCAGATGACATTCTGCTGTACTCAAAGATCGGCGCCTTGTTCAGCCATCATAGAGAAGCTTCCTCCTGCAGCAGATAGGAACAAATACAGAAACCCACAGACAGACGTCATAAAGGGAATGACAGATTCTGAAACAGTTCTGAGAGGGATGTCTTGATTGAATCGCCCCCCTCCCCGCCCTCCCCTTCCAGGGCTGAAGAATACCTGCAGAAGAGGTCAGGAAAAGTGCAAGAGCCAGAGGGGTTGGAGGACAAAGAAATCAAGGCCCTTTAAGTCAACAAGATCAATGTGCATACGAACGCACAGTGGCTGAGGGAGCATGCGCAAAGCATGCGCAGGGCCTGCGTGGGGCTGTAGCGCATGGGGCTCTCCCGCTGAATGGAGAAAAGCACACATCTCTCAGCTGGAAGTTATCTCCAATTGATAACTACTTGCAAATGAAAATTTCGTTTGCTCCCATGGAGTCTTGCGAGGGAAGGGAATAGCTCTTAGGGGCAGCCTGCATGCCCAGTAGTACATGGCCACAGGAAATGAACACAATGGCATCTTTGGAGCCTCCTTTTCTTAAAATGTTGTGTCAGGGCTTTCCCTCGATTTTAAAATTTTATCTTATTTTATTTGATATGTTTTTGCGTCTTGTCTCTTTTAACCTTACAGGTTCTTTGCATGCACATTTTGGCTTCCAGTTTAGTGTTTTTATGGGTTTCCTGAGTGTGTGAACGAGGGGTCTCTGTTTCTTGTGCCTTCTCTTCATCTGTTTTGTTCTATCCCGATGTGCTGGGGTTTGTTCTAACTTACTATATTATACTGTATCCCTTAGAAGCCCATTTGTTTTCAGAAGAGACAGAAAGGGGGTGGATCTGGCCTGGAGGGGAGGTGGGCAGAAACTGGGATGGGAAACTATATGCAAGGAACATTATTTAGGAAAAAATATTTTCAAAAAAAAAAGGAAAAGAAAGTTTAACATTTCATAATCGAATCTGCACAAATAATTTCATGCAATCTGTTTCTCCAGTCAAAGGGGTCTTTGCTCTGGAAATCCCTCTCATAAAAGCAAGAACAGAATGACTGGTGTGGTCTTGTTTGCAGACTGCTCAGGAGAGGACAGTTACATGGAGTGTTGCCTAGGATCTAAGAGTGGAGTCCATAGCCACAGGCTTCACTCTGGAGGACAGGCACTAAGACGATGTTAAGTGATTCAAATGTCACATAAAGTTAGACAAGTAAATAGAAAATAGAGACATCTTTGTCCAGTCACAGAGAAAGGTCTGGAAGGTCAGCAGGAAGGCACTACAATCTTCCTTACATGGGAGAAGTTAGGAGGTTCTTGAGCAGTGGTTCTCAGCCCCCCTAAAGCTGTGATCCTTTAATACAGGTCTTCATGGTATAATGACCCCAACCATAAAATTATTTTCATTGCTACTTCATAACTGTAATTTTGCTACTGTCATGGATTGTAACACAAATATTTTCAGAGATGGAGGTTTGTCAAGGGGGTTGCGACTCACAGGTTGAGAACCAGGAGTCTTGAGGGATTACTGATTTTTTTTCTTATGCTTTGTTAGAGGGGTTGGTGGTTTCACCTGTACAGTTTGCATTAGCAGTCCTGGTGTCCAGCGCGCTTCCCCTCCCTGCGCACACAGCTATAACCTGGTGACCCCCTTTTCATCTTCCTAGCGCCTCACTTTCCACCAGGTTGTGACATCACCTCCTTCCTCCTAGTCCTACCTCTGCCTGATCCAGATAAGTTACTGCTTGGGTGGGAAATGAACATTCTAACATGGACAGTTTCGTCACACGCTGATTACAGAACGACACAGGGCAGGCGCTGCGGGCGGAACTACTGGACTAGAGCTCCTGCTGTCTGTTCCTAGGATTCTAGAGAGTGTCTTAGAGCTACCACTCTCTGATTCTGTCCTATTTTGGCAAGTTCATGAACGTTTTTATCTTTTCCAGAACAGTCATTTTTCCGACTTTATGGATAAGCAAACTGGGTATGTCACCAAGAACCTGCTGGCAAGCCCGATTGTGATGGGAAAGGAGGTCCTTGCTGTGGTCATGGTGGTAAACAAAACCAACGCTCCTGAGTTTTCCAAACAGGATGAGGAGGTAATGCTAACCCAGAGTTCACCAGACACTGTACACCCGAAAGACGCGATCCCAACTATAGCTTGTTCCTCTCTGTGGCCTGTAGATCTTTTCCAAGTACCTCAGCTTTGTTGCTGTCGCCCTAAGGACGCAGCACACCAGTTACCTGTACAGTGTGGAGTCCCGGAGAAGCCAGGTAAGGGGACAATAGCAGGAGTTGTCCCATGCCTTCCCTCCCAGCCTTCAGCCTCCATGTGTGTGACAACCGACTGAGCTTGTTCAGTCCACGTCCTCGTTGCCTGTGGATTCTGCACCTAGGATGTGGTGGCGATTACAGTACCCACCTCGTATGGCTGGGGTGACTGCTAAATTGTCGCTAGTTCCCACTTAAAGCTCTTAGTTCACTGTAGGAAAAGAATCATTTATTATTGGCTATCGTTTCCATGAGATAGAGGGGCAAAGAGGAATATCCGTAGGCAGGATTCTCAGTCCCTCATCCATATAATACAGGAGTGGGCCTTGAGATGAGTGCGTCTAAGGTCCTCCCTATTCGAACATCCCAGGTGAGGCTAACTCTGACTAGCTAAGGACCCAGGGAGGAGTTCACAGGTCCAATGGCAAACCACTGATACTGGACAAATGTTGAGAGCATTTGTTCTTTGTGCTGGACCGATCACGTGTCCTCCCCTTTCATAAGCTTGGCAAAGGTCATGGTTTTATGACCCATGATTATACATAACTCCACTTAGAGAACCCATGATGAAGGTTGTTGGAGGTCCAATGTAGAACTGCAGTTTCTTGTGAGATGTGTTCATTTTTGAATATACTTTTTTTTCTAATATTCTCTCTGTGTGTCTGTTTCTCTCCCTCCCCTCTCCCATTTTGTTCTGTTTTCTTTTTAATGCTCACTTTCAGATCCTTATGTGGTCGGCCAATAAAGTGTTCGAGGAGCTCACCGATGTTGAGCGGCAGTTCCACAAAGCGCTGTACACCATCAGAACATACCTGAACTGCGAGCGCTACTCCATTGGTCTCCTGGACATGACCAAGGAGAAGGTTTTCCTCTTCCATATGCCTCCCTTCCCCTTGGGTCACCTAAAGAGTGCATACCAAAATGAAACCCGGTTCACTGACAAACAGATATGCAGATACCCAGCTCTGACCAAGAGCAAGAGCGAGGGCTACAAAGGCACAGCCCAGGGGCTAAAGTGAGCAGCAAGGAGCAAAGGGACACAGGCTTCAAATTTGGCTTATCTGTCTCACACCTGTATCCATCACCAGCAAGTCTCTTGTTTTGATTAAGTATTAGTCTTTCATTTTAGACTAGTTTTATGCTTATAATAAATGGAGCAGAAAGTACAGAATTCCAGTATGCTGTACATGGAATTCTTTGGACCATATGCCAGTGTTTGGCGTATACTGTTCATTTAATCCTCACAGCAAACTGAAGTTGGGCTGTCCTTATTTTACAGACAAAAGATAAGCCACTTTCCCATAGTCACAGGTTCATGAGCAATATTGCTGAGAATTAGGGTTTTCTCTCAAGTCTAAAATTCCAGAATGATAGAGAGTAACATGAAGTGTGTGAGCATGTTAATTTGGGTAAGGTGAATCGTGGGCTAGCTTGTTTAATAATGGTCAACTGTGATTGCCTCCAGGAATTTTATGATGAGTGGCCAATCAAGCTTGGAGAAGTTGAGCCTTACAAAGGACCAAAGACTCCAGACGGCAGGGTAAATGCGGACATCTCCTTTAGTGCTGTCTGGGTACGGTGCCAAGAAACTGAAGTGCGTGGAGGAAAGAAACTTCACCGGGACTCTGCCAAGCACAGTCCTGCACAGCAGGGTGGACCTAAACATTTCATTAATATCTTGCTTTCCTTCTCCCCAAACCCCAAACTTGGCCTGTGGGTCTGCAGTTCTCCACATGAGGCAGGCATCAGAGACACTGGCACAAGGTTGCTTGTTTGCTTTGTTTTTTGAGACAGGGTTTCTCTGTGTAACAGTCCTGACTGTCCTGGAACTCACTCTGTAGGCCAGGCTGGTCTTGAACTCACAAAGATCTGCTTGCCTCTGCCTCCAGAGTGCTGGCATTAAAGGCGTATCCCCCCTCCCCAACACCTGGCAACACAATATTTGAAGAAGTCCATGGGCTCTTTTTCAGCCATGCGGTATGGGGAGCCCTGGGGGCTGGGTTAGGCTTACTGCCACACTCAGCTGCAAGCTTCGTGGAGGCAGGAAGTGCATTCACTTCTCCACCACCGCACACTCTGCTCATGTTGAGCAGAAGTTGATTGTTTTGCTGGGCCTCAGATTCTTCATCGGCCCCAGGTCCTCCCAGCAGTGACCTCTCTTGTGGAGGGCCTGCTGAGGTGAGCCGGGAGAGAAGGGCCGTGTGCTCAGGGCATGAATGAGGTCTGCCTGCGGTTGATAAAGTCCTTAATGTCAGCTATATCTGGACAGCAAAGAAGCAACCCGTTCAAAGGAAAGACAGAGTCCCTGGTAGTTTGGTTATCAGAGTCCCCCTCAAAGCATTTTAAAATGACATTGAGCCCACTCTAACTGTAGGTATGCAGTCAATACTGCCTCTTGTGTGATTACAAGCCTGTAACTAATACATAAGTAGTTTAGTAGCTTACGTTATACAGAAAACTGTGGCTAGGAAATCAGGTACTATTTACATGAATTTTAAAGCCCACATCCTCCAGTGAAGACTATTTTCTTTGGGAACTAATGTTGTGCCCACGATCTCCTTCCCTCCTAGGAAATCATCTTTTATAAAGTCATCGATTACATTTTACACGGAAAAGAAGAGATCAACGTGATTCCGTGCGTGTTTCCCTGAAGTAGCCATGGGAGTGGCCGCTGGGTTTTCCTACCTGGTCATTTCCATTCATGCCAATGACTTTTTTTAATCTTCTCCAAGGTCCCCTCCTGCAGACCATTGGACGCTCCTCAGTGGACTGCCGACATATGTTGCTGAAAATGGATTCGTAAGTCACTAGACAAACTTCAATACTAAATAACAGCCTGAGAAACGCTTAGTAGTAACAAGATAAATGCAATAGTTGAACCAAGCACTCACGAGACAAGGGTGAGATGACCACTTTCTTTGGCACAGGAGAAAGGAAAGGAAGCTAGAAAGACAATCTAAGTTGATCAGGACATTCTTATTCTGAAGAAACACAATTTTCGGACATCTGCTTAAAGCTGGGGAGATTAAGTCAGTGGCTGTGCCCCACGATCGGCTCAGTCCCATCTCAAGTGCTCAGCTGTCTGAGTATGACTGTGATCATTTTCTCCGAGACCTCCCAGGAAAGGCTGAGGAACATGTCTATGACAAGAAAGTTAGAAGAAAAGCATAGTTGATATGCATCATTTAACCACACTCGGAGGTCAATAGTCCGTGAAATAATGTCAGACATTCAGATTGGATCGTGAAATTAACAAACCAAAGAGTCTTCGAAGTTCTTAAGTTAGCAATACTCAGGGAAACAGTAAGGTGGAGTGTAGGGGGAGTGTGTGCCTATAACCCCAGCAGTGAGGAGGCTGAGGCGAGAGGATGGCTAACCACACACAATGTGGAGCTGCATCGGAAAATCCAGACTCACACAAAGAAACAAGAACACAATAAACCCCGAAAGTAAACATGCACCAAAATAAACAAAAGCTTCAGAAGATTTCTGCATTTTCTTTGTAAGGCTAGTATAAGAAGAGTAGAGATATTTCATCCGCTCTTAGAAAGATCTGAGCCCCAGCAGTTTCCATGGCTCGTGGAGCTTGTAGTGGTGGGGGAGATAATCCTTCAGCCCTCACCCCAAACTGCCAGGTGTTTTAGGAATTGTGTGGGCAGGTAAATGTCGGTAGCCTACACCCTCTAGGTAGAAGTGTTTATACTAGATGAATAGGCAACTTATACAACCCCGGGGTTCTCCCCGAACCCTAGCCAGGAGAACCAATCCCAGCAGCCCTCTTGGGAGATGACAATTTGAGTTTCATCCAGTGAATTTGAACAGAGCCCTAAACTTTTCAGGACTTCAATGTCCTCATCTTTGAAAGGAGAAGACTGCTCCAACCATTACCATGACAGGCTTGAAATACTGTCAGTTCAAGTTGGACTTTGGTTGAAGTGAAAATACAGTCTTGAGATAAGACCTATTTGCACAGGCACAGAAAATTCAGACCAACTCAAAATGGATATGAGAAACTGTCTCCAAATTCTGGCTGTAAGAGCAGTATCTCTAGGGAAATCTTACTTTGGAGCAACTGAAGCACTGCCCGGCCTTTTCCTCTTACCCCTCAGGCACCTTACTTTAGGGAAGCATAGACTGCAAGGCCAGGCCTAGCCCACGCACACCTGTCTCAGCATGGCTGTCTTTTTGTCCACCTTTCTCTTTTGTTTGTGCGGAGGGGTTGTGTGGAGGTGGCACTGAATGTCAGTCAGTGATGCAGCAGAAGAGGAGGTGACATCAGTGAGCCTAACCTAGGTTACCTAGATGTGGCCTAACCTAGAGAGCGGGTGCTAATGGTTTACCAAGAACGTGGGAAACACTCACTCCCAATACGCACTTTCTCGTCTCCCTCATGGGTTATGTGGCCCTAACCTCACCATGTTTCAGAAGGACTCTGTCCCTTCCTTCGCAGATCTGCAACATGCTGAATGCCCCTGCAGACGAGTACTTCACATTCCAGGTAAGGGCAGCCATGAGCCTGCCTGGCCCCTCAGGCAAGGCGAGTGCTCTCTTCTTCCTTACCCACAGAGTCTGCCTTACTCGTGCCTTCGTAGGGGGCCCAACTAGCAAAGCTCTAGCTGGGCCAATGGCCTTCATGAAGCAGATTCTTCAGTAAAGGAACAAGGGGTCTGAGAGAAGAAAAATAAGAGAAGATGGGAGATGGTGTGTGTGTGTGTGTGTTTGTGTGTGTGTGCATGAGTGCGTGTCGGTGTCTGTATGTCTGTATGTGCATGAGTGCGTGCCTGTATCTGTATGTCTGTGTGTGCATATGTGTGTGAAAGCAAGAGTGCACTCTGACACACTTCCACCCCCTCCCTTCCTTGGTTCTCTAGGGGCAACAACTGAGCTTGGTGCATGGCAAGCAGTCTATAGCTCTTGTCTGCGTGAATGACTAACTGGAGACATTGTATGGCCCAAAGCCAGCCCCATGGTGCCTTTCTCGGGAGCCCTTCCTACAGTGTACTGTAACTAGGATCTAAAAAAGAAAAAAAAAATCTTACCAGGTTCTGGATTTTTACCTGCTTTTAATCCACATTCAGAAACCTACTTGTGGGAGAATCTATTTCCAGGAGAATCTTCCTCCACTTAGCACAGGGGAGCCCCCAGCCAGCCCCTCTGTATTTACTGTCTGGACTAACCACTTCTGCCCACTGTCACAGCTGGGTTTGAATGCTACCCCTTAGGGTTCATGTGTTGAAAGCTCAGTCCCCAAGCTCATGTACATACTATGTCTTGATGAGCATGTTTGGAGGTGTGCAGATAGACCAGGGTGTAGGGAGAAGACACACAGCCTTACCAGCTTCCCAAGAAAGGGATGTGAGACTTAATCTGGCCCTCTCAGGGCCTCGTGTCCTGTAATGCTCTTTGCCGTGTTATGATTCAGTGAGAAGAGCCTCTGAGGTTATGGAGCTGGGCCCTTAGGCCTCTCAGTCTTTTAAACTAAATTTACTTAATTCTTAATAAATTACTCAGCCTGTAGTATTCCATTACAGCAGTGGAAATGAGATCCTAGTGATAGGACTTTGGAGTTCATCTTCTTTCTAGCTTCATCGGATTCTCCAAAAGGACCTGCTCATCTTGGCTAGACCTTCCCAGTCCCTTTGGAAAACCAGACAGATGAGATGGCAGTACCAGAATGCTGCAGCCTCTCTTCTGTGCATGCTGGCACTCCATGCCCTGCATTTCATAGACAGTAAAGCCCTGATCTGAGTCAGGAGGAGAGACTGCCCTCCCCAGGGACACTGCTAATGTTTGTCTTTCTCCGTACTATGGAGACACATAGAGTCCCATTGATTTCCCTAGGGTATGGGTGATCCTGCCACAGTAGCAAGCTAAACCCATCTTGGGAAAACCTGTCCACAGCTGTTTAGTTAAATGGAGGTTTCCCCGGCTCTGCCTGCCCATCCCTTTGCTTACCGAGGTGGAAACACACAAACACCATATGGTCCTGTTTCTTCTTGTCTCTCCCTTCCTGCACCCAGAACCTGCTCATGATTGTGTTGAGCCCAGCCCTGGGCCCTAGGTCTATAGCAATTGTGTGCCAGGATAGAATACAAGTGAATGTCAGAGAGGGGAACAGCCAATGTTTAAGTGTCTGAACCTGGAGCAGCCGCTCTGGAATCAGTGAGATGGAGGTTATACAGCAGGTGCCCACTGAGGTTTGAGGGGCTCTAGAGTCACACTGTGAAAAGAATGGGGGGACCTTGCTTTAGCATCAGGATTTCCTGGAATGGGGCAAAACTCCAGTCTGCAGTAACCTCCCAGAAATGCAGTAAACTTCAGTGTGGTTTCCATGGAAATGAGCCTGTAGGCATCCCACTGGTTCAGGGCTGCTGTACCCTGCAGTAACATTTGTTTCAAGGCCCGGCCTCCCAGATAGTGACTGATTGGCAGGCCCATCCTGGAAGGCAACCAGAATCCTCTAATGGGCAATATTGACCTAGGAAACCCCAGCAGCCCTGTGTATTGTTCCAGAGCTGCACTGGGGTGATTTTACTCCTCCTTGGGTCCATCCTTTTCTCTGTAGCCTGAACCCTGTCTATCTAGCTGCCGTCTCCCCACATCCCCTCCCAAGCACGCCCTGTGTACCAGTCCTCAGAGCAGATATGGGTTGAGGTGTCTGCCGTCCCCAGAACACCAGCTTCCTTCTGCACTCTGCCTCCCTGCTCTTACCCTACTTCTCATGCTCGACCCCGAGTCTCATTATTCCCTGTTGTACCTAAAAATGTTAAGTGGGAAAACCAAGCATTGAAAATGAGCTGTTTGGGGAGCAAACCAAGAGAGGCAGTGGTTCTCAAACTGTGTTTCCTGGAGATCAATGTATATGTTTCCTACAGTGTTGTAACCATAACAGACAGCAAACAACAACAAAGTACCACTTACTCCTGGAAACAATCTGATAAATACGGTTCCGAAGCCCAGAGTATAAAATGTTTCATACTGTACTAAAATCAAGGTGTCAAAGGACGGTGTTCCTCTGGGAAGATGCTAGGAAAGAACCTGTGCCCTGACCTTCCCAGCCCTTGGCCCCTATGGGCTTCTGGGTTTCCATGGTTCATGGCCTCTTCCATCATCCACACCAGCAGTTGGCCCTCCAGACCCTGCTCTGCCGGATGGTCCTTCCCTGATTCTGACTTCACTGCTTTTAAGGGTCTCGGTTATCATAGGGGTCCTCCCATAAAATCCAGGGTAGTTTCCGATTCTCAGTTAACCGATAGGTAACTATAATTTCATCTGTGAGGTCACTCCCAGGGGCTGGAGATTAGGCGTAAGCACCTTTGGCCCGGGAGTCTTCGTTCTGCTTACCATCATCAGTGTTCTTTGAATTAGGCTAAGGGATCCTTCCTTTAAAGAGACCCTTAACTCTGGGGAAGGGGCAGTGGTGGAGGAGTACATAGAATTGTCCCAGTTAGAAGTTTTTGTCCCCAAGTTAGATTTTTGTCTGTCATTTTGCTGTCAAAATCTCTAATTATCAGCAAAACAGACGAAGATGAACAAATAGCAAATGGACATTTACTAAAACACCCAGAAGCAGCCAGTAAAGCTTTTTTGGAAGATTTAAGATGGTACATGAAGGATGGGAATGTGGCTCCTAGGTAGTTTCCAAGGATGGACCCTTGAAAGCATTGTATATTGTGTTTTTTTTTTTTTCCCTAAAGCTTAAAGGTCCATACACTGAGGTTTAGTTTCTCTGCTTTTCACTCCCAGGACAATGACTGTTAATAAATGATAGACAAGTTATTTTATATATATACTTAAAATATTAAATCTCTGTCTCATCATTTGGGAACTGGTTAGTGACCCAAAAGAAAATACCATAGGCAACAGAATCTTAAAAAAAAAATGTTTTATGTTTATATATACTTACATTTTTTAGTTACGTGCTGTGGCAGGTTGAAAGAAACTGGCCCCAAAGGGAGTGGCGTTAGAAGTGTGGTACTGGCGTAGGTATGGTCTTGTTGTAGGAAGTGTGTCACTGTAGAGGTCGGCTTTGAGGTCTTATATATGCTCAAGTGTCTCAGACCACTTCCTGTTGCCTGTGCAAGATGTAGAACCCTCAGCTCCTTCTCTAACACAACGTCTGCCTGCACACCACCATGTCACATCATAGTGATAATGGACTAAACTCCTGAAACTGTAGGCCACCCTATTAAATGTTTTCCTCTATAAGAGTTGCCATGGTCATGGTGTCTCTTCACAGAAATAGAAACCCTAAGACACATGTATTCATGAAGGGTGGTGAGTGGGTGGGTTGACATGTGTGTGTGTGTCTGTGGATGGGTTTGTGCCTTATCTTAGCTCTTATTCTAATTTTTCTCTTCATCTACATTTTGCCTCAGGGATTGTTTCTTCCTTCCTTCCTTCCTTTCTTTCTTTCTTTCTTTCTTTCTTTCTTTCTTTCTTTCTTTCTTTCTTTCTTTCTTTCTGTGTATCTTAGTTTCCCGCTGTTTCTACATCTGGCTGTCTGGCTTCTGCCTGGTCTCTTGCCCTGGGTGTGTGTCCCTTCTTTCTCTTCATTCTCTTCTCTCATTCCTCTCCAGACTAGACTTCTCCTCCTATATATTCTCTCTCCCCACCAGCCCTACCTATCCCTCCCCTGCCTAACTATTGGACTAGCTCTTTATTAGACCAATCAGGTGCCTTAGGCAGACAAGGTGAAACAAATGCAACGCATCTTTGCATAATTAAACAGATGCAGCAAAACAAAAGTAGCACAGTTCAAGTAATATTCCAAGGCATAGACAAATGTAACACATTTGCCTGGTTAAAATTAATATTCCACAACACTGTGGTCCATGGGTCACATTTTGAGAAGCACTTCTGAAGCTATTTGTCTGCATCCCTCCCACTGGCATGGGAGCATCTTGACATAAGACCCATGGTTGACTCATAACTCTGGCCACTGGCCTAGGGCTTACCTTACCATTGGGTCTCACAGGTTTTCATAATCACAACATAGCATAACTTGAAAGTCTCTCTTGATGGGTTAGATAGGAATTATACTAAGTACTTCAACAGAAAGACCCTAACATAAGAAATTAACTACACAAACATTGTAAGATGGAAACAGTGCAAAAAGCAGAGAGGTAACGTAAGGATAAGAATCCCTTTTCATCCCCAGGGGTGCAGAGCAAAGGGGAAAGTTACAGTGTCAGAACACAATTGCCCTAGTTCTGGTACATTTGAATGGACAGCCTAGAGTACTTATCCTAACCACGCTCTCATCCTAAGATTTACTTTAAAATAAGCTAAGTGGTGGTTGGGTAGTGGTCGTTGTAGGTCCACTAGAAGGGTTTATTGTGGGATGGGGATAGTTTAGTTGATTTTAATAGAAGTTGAAATTTTCCATAAGAGATAAACATACACATAAGCACGAAGACACACATAAATCTAGAGAGACCCCCAATAAGGACTATGATTGTACATTGTCTGTTTCTTGGGTTTTGGTACTGTACTGTGGTTACAGAAGATGTTTCTGTTGGTGGGAACTGAGTGAAGAGCTCATGGATTTCTCTGTACATTTCTTTTGGAACATCTTGTAAATCTGTAGTTGCTTCCAAATTGAAGAGTGAAAATACTGAAGTAACTTAAATTCTCTTATTGTTTATAGAAAGGACCGGTAGATGAAACTGGCTGGGTCATTAAAAACGTCTTGTCCCTGCCTATCGTTAACAAGAAAGAAGACATTGTGGGAGTGGCTACATTTTACAACAGGAAGGACGGGAGGCCCTTTGATGAGCAAGATGAGTACATCACCGAGGTAAACAGGAAAGATCCACAGAGCATCTGAGCATCACGAAACGACAGCGGCTGCATGGCTACTCCTTGGTCTGGAATGACGTTCTGAAGAACATTTGAGACATGGTCTCATTCTTGTGATCAAAATGCTGCTGTGTCGTTTCTTCTCTGGGTTTCTACATTGCAACCTTTGATGTTCGCGTATAAAGTCTCGATTTCACCCAAATTCTTTTCCAATCTTATAAAAACAGCTGAGAATATTTTTACCCCCTGCCGCTTCCTCTTCTGTAATCTCTCCCATTCTTGGTCTCAAATGCCTGTCTAATTTTTAGATCCTACTTTATTTTATTCTGTTTGTAATTCCTTTCCTGCAGTAGAATATTCTGGAAGCATGGTGCTTTGAAAAGAAAAGCTTAGTCAGTCTTACTCTCTGGGCAATAAATTCAGATTTTTTTTTTCCTTCTGTTGATATAAGCAGCTGGGTTGGCAGCGCGGATCGGGGAAAGGGTTTGTGAAGTTCCATCCTTTAGTTGAGGAACAATTACAAATTATAAATTCAGGAGAAAGGTTGGTTTTCTTCAGAAAAGAGCCTCTGAGACGCTACCCAAGCTCCATTAAGGGTCCCACACCCACGCACATAGAGACGGCACTAAGTGGATCCAGTGGTTTAAGCACATGAAGTTGAGAGGCGGAAATGGTGGTGGAGCGAGTGATAGGTGAAGAATTGGAATGATTTAAATAAAAGCAAACTTGATCAAAAGACATTATACGCACACATACAATTTTCAGGTAATAGCTAAAATAATAAAGTAGCTTTGAAAACGAACTGGGTTGTCGCGGTGGAAGGGAGATAGCTATGGGAAAGTGTGCACATTTGTTGTGCACAGAGAAAGTTTGCCTCAGCTATAGAGGACCTGAGCCACTGTTTCTTACACTTCAGACTTTAACCCAGTTTCTTGGATGGTCTCTCCTAAACACTGACACCTATGAGAGACTGAACAAACTGGAAAGCCGGAAGGACCTTGCTCAGGAAATGATCATGAGCCGCACAAAAGCCACCCCCGATGAAATCGGCTCTATTTTGGTAAGTGGGGCATCCAGTCCTAGATGGCATTTAAGCTCAGCTTCTGGAAATCGCCTAGTGACTGGGGAGTCAGACTTAGTGCTGGGATGAGGAGAGGGGAACACAGTAAGGTGGGGGAGGAGCTCCATCAGTCGGTGAGCTAGGTTTCCTGGAAATCCAGACTGCAGTGTTCCAACAGCACTTTGTGAAAAACAGCTCCTGGGTGTGTAGGAGCAGAAGCAGTGACACCGAGATTCGAGTATACTAGTGAGGGAAGCAATATTTTGAAGAAGAGTAATGTATCAGTCAGTCATTCTTCTCCAGTGCTGTGTAACAATCGCTATATCATCATGGTGACCTACATTAGGAGGCACCTATGTTTTATTTACATAGCTGTGGGTTGAGCAGGCTCTGGCTGACCTTGGTGACTAAGCTGTGAGTCTGGTTTGCTCTATGGCTTCTCATCTTTTGTGGACCAGCAGCAACCTGGTGACTTAAAGTCTTTGCTCACATGGCGGTCTCTAGTCTCACTGAAAAAAATCTCACCAAATGGCAGGATCAAGTTCAATAAGGGAGCCACTGGATTTTTGCTGGCAATGTTCTAATTACCACAAAAGTAAGGGGAAACCACATCACATAAGCACTTTGTTGTTGTTGTTTTTGAGACAGGGTTTCCGCTGTGTAGCTCTAGCTGTCTTGGGTCCATCTCTGTAGACCAGGCTCCAACTCACAGAGATCTGCCTGCCTCTGCCTCTCGAGTGCTGGGATTAAAGGTGTGCGCCACCATCGCCCAGTCACATAATTGCTTTTATTTCTTGCTGTTTTTTCTAGTCTTTTGAGTGTGTATATAGGTGTAGTATAGTGTGGGGTATTTGGTTTTGTTTTGCTGGGGTCATTGGGAGTTAAAAGATAATTCACTAAAGTGATAAGATGATAAAAATGGCAACACGTACATGAATTGAGTGAAACTCCTATTGGCAATTAAGAAAGAGAAATGTAAGCCACTCTGTTTCTCTTTTCCTTTCTTGCCTACCTGAAGCCCATAGCTTGGCTTTAAGATGGCTACCGCTATGTTTGGGCAAGGGCGAGAACTCAATTGCATAAGACTATTTCTTTGGTCTAATTCTTCCTAATCACGTGCAGTAAGGCTCTTCCCAAGCAGAATGGCTCAGATGTAACATTGTGAAGCCTAATTCGATTTTATCTTAACGGCCTTAATAGTAGAGGGATCAGATGGGAATCTTCGTAGGAATTTTACACTTCTGCTGTTTTTCCACTATAGAAATTTAAAGAGAAGTTCCACGTAGATGCAATTGAAGAGTGTGACGAAAGGCAGCTCCTGGCCCTGTTGGTACGTGTGTCCCTCTGACGCCCCGTGCTCTCCCAGTAGACTTGGCTGGGGCACACACACATTCTCGCTTTGCAAGTCAATGCTGAGCTTCTTTTTCCTCGACATTTTTCCAAGACTGGAAGGAAAGATTTCTTCTGAATACTGACCTTTTGGTTTCCTGATTTTCGCCATCATTGCTCAATAGGGTTCGGTCCACAGAGATCATTTACAATCGTTGCTAAACTAGACGCCTGCAAGAGGCACCTCGGGATCTAGAGAGACCACGGTTAGAGTTATCTTAGTAGCTTCCAGTCACAGCATAGCCATCCCGGAGGGCATGCCAGGGTGACAGACCTCAGCCCTTCTCAGGGCAGGGACCATAGCGGGAGAGAAAGCACCAAGAGGGAGGAGCAGGCAGCAGCTCTGTGGTCCACCCCAGACCTGCAGGGGAACTCCGTCCAGGGACTGTTGGCTGAGTGTGGTTCAGGGACTTGTACGTGGGTTTCTTTTATCATTGTATTTCTTTTTAATTACTCGATAAATTGAGTGGGGATGGGGGTTGAATCACGTGCCATGGCGCACATGGTGGCGGTCAGAGGCTAACTCCTGGAGTCGGTGCTCCCCCTGCCACACGGGTTCCGGGAACTGAACTCAGGTCACCAGTTTTGGTGCAAATACCTTGAGCTCCTGAGCCATCTCCGCAGCCCCTTTACCTTGGATACTGGGTGTGTGGCGGAACAGGCCGTCAGCCGAATGTCACCTGCACCCATCTGTCCTGTGTCAACAGAAGGAGGACTTGCCGGACCCAAGTGCGGCAGACCTGTACGAATTCTGCTTCAGCGACTTTCCCATTACGGAGCACGAGCTGGTTAAATGCGGGCTGCGGCTGTTTTTCGAGATAAACGCGGTGGAGAAATTCAAAGTACCAGTAGAGGTCAGGAGGCATTTTGCTTGAGAAGCAGTTTGGTTCTGTTGCTGTGCCTTACTGATGTTTTCCACAGTTCCAAAGATTAGCTCAAGTTAGGATTTCGAATTATCATTAACTCTGAGAATACCACGGCTTAAGCTCTGTCAACAGGACCGACACACTTTTTTAGATAAGCGTGCCCGGGGGCCTCCTACCCTTTAGAATTCTGTTCTAAAGTCTGAGCAGTGTTGTTGCCTTTGGGTAACAGGTTCTTACGAGGTGGATGTACACTGTGCGGAAAGGGTACCGCCCTGTCACCTACCACAACTGGCGGCATGGATTCAATGTGGGGCAGACCATGTTCACGCTGTTGATGGTAGGTAGCACTGTTGGAAGCCGCTGGAAAGGTTTGCAACTCTAAACAGTTTCCATCTGAGAAAGAACGAGAAACAGTTGCAGCCTGTCGTGTCCGATTTATCATTTGACATTCATGGACAGGATTCCACAGACGCACATCCTTCCGGAGCTGCTACCAGAGATGTGTGTCTCCCTGGGCACTCGGCTAGATTATCAATCAGAAATTCATAGGCTTGCCATTTCAAAGGCAGATCCAGACACGTCCTAGGTTTTGAAACTGCCTGGGATAACACAAGAGTGACTAAACACGAAACTAATTTTTGGTGGAAGCAAGGTGCCAAACCCCTCACCCCTGCCTCATTTGCAGTCAGACTGGGCTACGCCGGGTATAAGATGTGCTGGCCTCTATAAATACGTACTCATACATCTTTCTAGACAGGGCGACTGAAGAAATACTACACAGACCTTGAAGCATTTGCCATGCTCGCGGCTGCTTTCTGCCATGATATCGACCACAGAGGCACCAATAATTTGTACCAAATGAAGTAAGTGAATGTGTGCCCTGCACTGACCGATTCCAGCGACGGAAGAAAGAGCTTCCCTGTCCTCCAGTCCCTTCCTCTACCTCATTTATGGCCTCAGGCAGGGCTACTCTATCCCGCCTCAGCTGTAGCCTTGTGGCAGCATCTGCCCTTTGCCCATGGTGCTCGCATGCCTCATTCCTTTCTGCTTCCACTTCTGGGGTTCCCCAGCTGTGTTCAGGCAGCTTTAATCAGAGTATTGAATTCAAATATCTGAGTATATTAATCTTAGGCGTACACTAGTGTATACCCAGGGATGGCTCCCCGCTCACACTAAGAAACATGTCTTTTGGAGGTTTGTAATCCTTCACTTCCTGATCCTTTGAGTCCACCAGGCCCCTCTCAGCTGCTCTGCTAGAGCATCACCATGCCATCCCCTTCCCTTGTGCTGAGAAAGGAAGAGTAAAGATGCAGGTGCAGACTTGTAGCGGACAGACTTAGATTTCAAGTCATTGGCTTTCTCAGCCTTGATTTCCTCATCTGGACAATAGGAATTAGGATAATGGTGTGCAGCTGCAAAGCTTCTGGACTATGGCGCATAGAACCCCCAGTCACGCTCCGCTCTCAGCTCCTAACACCTGACGCAGCATCCTCCCGAAGCAGTGAAGAGTTCCAGGAACGGCTTTCGTGTATTGGCTTGTGGGTTCAGACCACTTCCTGGATGAAAAGCCTTAGGCAACTCACTGATTCTGAGACTTGGTTTCTTAACTTGAACATGGCTATAACATCGACCTGTCAAAGATTGTTGTGGGAGTCAGGTGACATCACTCCTATGAAATGTGTGTCAGGGACTTCAGATAAAGGCACTCTGTAAGTGAAGAGCACTTCTGAGCAGTCTCCTCCCACTTTGAACAACTGGGCTATCAACCTTCATCTTGAAAGGAGCATCTCCACTGAAGCTCTTTCCCAGGATGTCACCATGCCTGAGGCTCCAGCCCATGCTGGCCATTATGTCCTCACTAAGGCAATGGTCCCAGCGGAGGGGTGAGGGGGTGTCAGTGGAGTTCCCCTTGTTCTGCTCCAAAGAAACTAAGACTTATTGGGCATCTCTTTTTCACTTAATTTTCTTTCCTTTCTTTTTCCAAAATAATGTTACTATATAAAGCTAACCTTAATCTTATCATCTTCCCGCCTCAGCTGGGACTGCAGTTGTGTGCTGCTAAGCCTGGTGGGTTAAACACCGTGTTCTGGAGGCTGATGGACACAAGTGGTAGGCCTTGTCTCACTTCACCTCCTGCTGCCTCACATTATCCCCCTCTCTCAGGGATGAGCAAACAGACTCGAAGATGAAGATGAAGTCAGACTTGTCCTAGGTTATAGTCAGCAGTAGAGCTAGCTGAGGCACCTTCCTGTCTATGCTTTTTTTTTTTTTTTTTTTTTTTTTGGTTTTTCGAGACAGGGTTCCTCTGTGGTTTTGGAGCCTGTCCTGGAACTAGCTCTTATAGACCAGGCTGGTCTCGAACTCACAGAGATCCGCCTGCCTCTGCCTCCCGAGTGCTGGGATTACAGGCGTGCGCCACCACTGCCCCCTGTCTATGCTTTTCAGGACGGATTCCTGGCCTCACAATGGCCTGGAATCTAATCTGTTGGTGTATTCCAGCTATTTTTCTTCTGCAAATCGGACAGAAGGAATATGTGTGATAGAAGAGTTTCTTGACATCAGACTGGGGACAAGGCCATCTTCTTCACCCTTAGCATGGTTGAACCCTCTGGCAGTTCCATTAAGTTCTTGGAATCAAATGAGCTCTCTAACTGACCTTCCAAACAAACAAACAAACAAACAAATAACAAATAAAGCCCACAGCCAGCCCCTTTATGTACTTCTCCTTCATGGAAGAATTGCTCAGGATTCTTCAGAGATACTGCAGTCACTGGAAAGTCTGACTAAGACTAAACCGCTCTTCTCGCTCCGAAGGTGGTGGGAAGATCTCCCGCAGAGTGACCAGAGCTGTTGGGACACAGGGGACCCCTGGCTTGACCCTGTGCCTTTGGTCTGATCCTTGTCTCCAGGATGTCTGACCCGTTATCTCTCACACTCAGACTCTGCCCCCTGATAACACCTGAAAGCTCCCGTTTTCCTGTGTGATTGTTCCAGAGTTCCTGTAGACTCTCCGCTCACTTTGTTTTCCCAGCCAGGTGATTTTTTCCATCCTTTGTGTGTTTGTAGATTTCTTTCCCCTCTCATCCCCCTTTGCTCTTTCATTTTTTGATTCTCTGATATTTCTCTCTCCTTGGACGAATGCAGCAGCTATCAGAAGAATATTAAGAACGATAGCTTTTCTTTGGCTTCCTCTCTACATCTCCTGTATTTTGCAGTCTGCCCTTGACTATTTTCTGTAGTGGAGGACCCGTCTACTCAAGGCGGGCTCTCCCTCTATTCTGGTATGAGTCTAACAAGGGACCTGAAATTGGTCTCCCTTCTATATAATTTCTACTTCTCCTCGTTTGGGTCTCTGGAGCTGCAGGGATTTGTATGGGTTCTCACCCATTGTCCCTTCTTCATGCATTAAAGAGAATTCGAACATCTTTCTTACCAAAATATTTGCTTTCCAGGCTGAACACACGAAGATTTTGAAAACTTTGAGGCATTTGCCTAGGAGGAATAGGGTCTTGCTACATAGTGAAAGCTGACTCAAACTCACGATCCTCCTGCCTCAGCTTCCTGCTGAGGGATTATAGGCATGTGCCACACCATCTGGCTTGAACTGCTCTTCAAACAGTAGTTCCTACGGCATAGTTGTTTATAATGATTCTCGGCATTCCAGCATTTTCATGCCATGTCTTTCTTTTCCCTTCCTTCCTTCCTTCCTTCCTTCCTTCCTTCCTTCCTTCCTTCCTTCCTTCCTTCCTTCCTTCCATTTATTTATTTATTTATTTATTTTAGGTTTTTGAGGCATGGCTTCTCTATGAATCTCTGGTTGTCCTAGAACCCACTCTGTAGATTAGGCTGGCCTTGAACTCACAGAGATCTGCTTACTTCTGCAACCCTGAGTGCTGGGATTAAAGGTGTGCACCACCATCATCTGGCTAATGTCTTTTCAAAACTGTGGATCCCAAAATTTGGCACGGTAATCCAGACATGCCTTGAAGTACTTTATATTTAATCCTATTGAAATTGAAATTTCATTACCTTAAAATTAAGGGTTCTTCAAAACTGTTAAAATTACACTTATTAATTTGTGTGTGTGTGAGTGTGTGTGTGTGTGTGTGTGTGTGCTTGAGCACCACAGTACATGTTTGGAGGTCAGAAGGCAAGATTTTGAAGCCAGTTCTCTCTGTATGTCCTATGGGTTCTTTGGGTATCAAACTTGGATTTGGTGGCAAGTACCTTTACTTACTGAATCGTCTTACCAGCCCTTAATTCTTTAACCTACTTTTTTTTTTTTTTTTTTTTTTTTTTTGAGACAGGGTTTCTCTATGTAGCTCTGGTTTGCCTGGAGCTAGCTCCGTAGAACAGGCTGGTCTCGAACTCACAGAGATTCACCTGCCTCTGCCTCCTGAGTGCTGAGTGCACCACCACCTGGCCTTTAACCTACTTTTAATTGTAGCTTGGTGTTCTTGTGGGACTCCCAATAATGGAAGTGTGTGTGTGTGTGGAGGGGAATGAGGTGTCTCTGACTCTTTTGCTGCACTTGGGATCCCTTTTCTTCTACTGGATTGCTATATCCAGCTGTGATATGAAGGTTTGTGTTCAGTCTTATTGTATCTTGTTAGGCCTGCTCTTTTTTTTTTTTTTTTTTTTTTTTTTTTGAAGTGTAACAGAGGAGGAGTTGATCTGGGGGAGAAGGAGTAGGGGAAGGGACTGTGAGGAGTGGAGGAAGGGAAAACAGAGGTCAGGATGTAATGTATGGGAGAAGAATAAAGGTTAAAAATAAAGAAAGGAAGCAGGGAAGGAAGGGAGAACGAAAGGAAGGAAAAGAAAGAAAGGAAGAAAGAAAGGAAGAAAGGAAGAAAGGAAGGGAGAAAGAAAGGAAGGAAGGAAGGTCTATTTATGCCACACTGTGTCAGAGCATGATTTAAGATGCTCCCCCCAGTGTTTCGTCATGTGGAAATCAGGTAGTCATATTTCCACGGATGCTCATCTGAGTGATGGTAACGTTGTACTTCAGGACAGAGTTAAGGGTAGGACTCCAGCACATGACTGGAAAGATGCTTCAGGAAACCAACTGTGAGACAATCAACAAAGCCACACCCCTAAGTACTGCTCCAGCTATTTCAGTGAGAGCTGGGTGGATACAATCCACATCCCAACATTCACAAACAAATACAATCCATATTACAACATTCCATATCTCAACATTCATGGAGGATTCCATGGGGGAGGTGCCTTCCCAAGTGACTGGCTGAAATCGCCACCCCTCTGTCACTAGGTTTCCACAGAAGGGCCGATCACACTGCTTTGGCACCATTTCCTCACCCCAAATCTTCTCTGAAGCTCCCATTAATTATTTTTAGACCATCTGTTTGAGCAATTACAGAACCAATCTCCCCGTTTTCTCATGCACAAATCACACCATTTTCTACTTCTTGAATTTTGAGAAAAACTTTGTGTCCAGCCTTTGGTTACCAAACCATCATCTCAGAATTTCCCAGCGAATATTGTAGATGGTCTCCCAATGACACACGTGTCCTCAAATATCTGTGGGATGATTAGGTATCGGTCAGCTGGGCTGAAAAGTCACTCCTCAGTTTCATCCGATTGTCACCCCTGTTGGAATTCTAATCTTCAAGGATCATTCTCAGGAAGATAAGGAAACCCAGTGGGTTAAATAATCAAACTGTACACATTGCCTTTGTAACCCAAACTCCTCTCTGGTCCTTTTCGCCTACATGGATAGACAACATCAATACGAACTGTATGTTTTTGTCAGTTCAAGCTCACTGTGGTCAGACAGACGTTCTAAAAATGGAAAACTAGTACTGAATTTTATGTTTCTTCTTTCTCCTTGAGATAGCTTCAACATCTTCAGTAACTTCTCTGAAAACCGCCACGTCAAGTCAGTTTTCTCCTATAAATACATGTGTGTGAATATGTATACACATAGATCAATTCTCTTTGTTACTGAAGTATCTGTGAGTCACCTGCAGTCACCAGGCATTTTGTTCCTAATTATTTCAGCACGTGCTTGAGACACAGCACAGTGGCCCCACCCCCACCCCAAGGAAATTCTACAGCTGTGCTGTGATATTGTTTGATGCAAGCTAATTGTTAATTAATTAAATTAAATTAATAATTTTTCTAGTCACCCCAATACTGTCCTCCACAGCACCCCCAGTTGATTGGAGAGATAAGCATCATCTGCTGCAGATCATTGTTGTTTATCTTTATTCTCCTTTAACGCAGGGTAGTCTCTTCCTCGGGCTGTGTTTCTCAGGATACTGTTTGTGAAGAGTCTAGGCACGTTATTCCTTGGCATCCCTCTCCATCTGGATGTACCCAATGCTTCCTGATCCCTAAATACATCATACGTATTTTTTGGCAGTCCCTTCTATGTGAGTTGCGTCCTCAGGATATTGGTGTAAGGAGGCCCAGGGTATCAGTGTGTCCCAATATCTGAAATTGTAAACTCCTTGTGGTTTAGATGGACATGCTGCTGTCTGTTGTTTGGCTATCCCCCTGTGTAGTGAAATATTCCTTAACTCTGTAATAGTAATATGTGAAGTGTGACTTCAAGAGTGAGCAAACATTTAGTTTCCCAATAACAAATTTGACTAATTTAAATTTTTAATAATTTGTATTAGTTCTTTGAGTTTTTGTACATGTTTTAGTCATATTTACCCCTTTTTCTTCTGACTCTTCCCAGATTCACCCCTTTCACCTCTGCGTCCACTTTGTGTCTTCTTGCCCACCAAAAGCAGTTTGTGCTGCCCAAATGCTCTTCGCTGTGTGGTCTTCCACTGGGGCCTGAGCTGTTTATCAGGGGCTGCACACTTAGAGGAAACCGACCCTTCCTTTTCCCAGAAGCTAATATAGCCGATAGCTCTACAGTCAGGAGCAGGAATTTGTGTTCCTTCTCCCACTCCGTCCTGGGATCTGATCTGGCTCGGGTTGGCAAAGGTCTTGTACACGGCATCGCCCCCACTGTGAGTTCACAGGAGGAGCTGCCCTGCTGTGTGTAGAAGACATGAGTTCCTCAGGGTCATCCACTGCCTCTGGCTCGTAGGCTCTCTGCCCCCTGTTTAGACATCTGCTCCCTATTGCACAGTGATCCCTGAGCCGTGGGAGGAGGCGGTGCTGGCTATGTGTCCCATTTAGGGCTGAGTTTTCTGCAGTATCTTAAAGGAATTAAACATTTCGCTCTCTTCTAATTGAAACTGAATTTTAAAAAAATCTCTGGTGCTGATGTCCTGTAGAACTAAAATATTTGTTTTAAGTGATCATTTATAATATTGGCTACTGCGCCCACGGTGACTTGGCCATGCCTCCTCCTCACAAAGGCCTGTGCTTTGTGGTATGAAAGGAAAATGTTCTAGGGCTGCCACCCAGCTTTCTGATATTTTCCTTCAAAAGATTTGTTTGTCTTTCCCTGGAAAATCTTCCCATAACTGCAGAATTTTGGTCTCGAGCTCTTGTCACTTTTCTTCCTTTTTTTGTTTTTTGTTTTTGAGACAGGCTTTCTCTGTGTAACAACTATGGCTCTTGTAGACTAGGCTAGCTTTGAACTCGCAGAGATCCCCCTTCTTCTGTCTCTAGAGTGCTGGCATTAAAGGCGTGGCCAGCATTGCTCGGCTGCCTTTTACCTTTCTGTATTCACCGTGTCTTCCCCTCCCAGGGCAGGTGGCATTGAAGACCAGTGTTATTGAGGAGTGGGGGCTTCACTCGCAGAGTCGGTCTTGTAGTTCTTTTTTTTTTTTTAAATATTTATTTATTTATTTATTATGTATACAATATTCTGCCTGTGTGTATGCCTGCAGGCCAGAAGAGGGCACAGACCCCATTACAGATGGTTGTGAGCCACCATGTGGTTGCTGGGAATTGAACTCAGGACCTTTGGAAGAGCAGGCAATGCTCTTAACCTCTGAGCCATCTCTCCAGCCCGGTCTTGTAGTTCTTAACAAAGGGAGGAACTTAATTTCGAATGTATGCTATTACCTTGGGGAGGAAAGAAATCACACTTTATACTGACTTGCAATTGTTTCCTGGGATTATTAATTGATGGATTTAATTAGTTTATGGTTTTTGAGACAGGATCTTGCTACGTAGCCCAGGCTGGTCTCAATCTTGTAATCCTCCCTCCCTCAACTTTTTGATTATAGGTTTGTGACCCCCAGGCTCAGCTTGGAAACTCTTAATGGACACTTTCTATACAGAGAATTCATGAGCTTCTACAGTTGCTGAATGTTACATAAGTCATAGGACGGCACTACATATCCAGAGAACCTAACGATTTTACCTATAGATCAAACTTAATAGTCTAAATAATTCAAATAATTCAACAACTTAGACATTGCTTCCCGCCCCCTTTATTTTTCACTGTTTGGAGACAAGGTCTCAGTATGCATGTAGCTCTGGCTGTCCTGAATTCCTTATGTGGACCAGGCTGGCCTTGCACTCACAGAGCACCATCTACCTGCTTCCCAAGTGGCAGGATTAAAGGTGTACACCACCATGCCTGGCAAGTAACTTTCTTACCTTCTAAATTAAAAACAATCTTTTCCAGTAGTTTGTATTTGGCCATCTCGTAGACACTGAGTGGGGAAAGAGATGAGACATGAATGGGAGCTCTAGAAGAGTGAAGGTGCTGTGGGGGTGGATTTCTGTGTGATCTCTAAATGGAAGATCTTTTGCCGTATCCTTTTCATCCTAGGTCCACATCTCCACTTGCAAAGCTTCATGGGACTTCCATTTTAGAGCGACATCACCTGGAATACAGCAAGACTCTCCTGCAGGATGAGGTATGAGAGTCTTTCTCTTGGGAAGCTTACAGGTTCTGGATCTAAGACTATCCCAAGTTCCCCGGGGGAAACATTGGTCTTCAGTGAAAACACTGGCGCCGTGTCCCCCTGTCCAAGTATAGTTTGCATGCCCCTGCCTCAGTGCAGTGGCAGAAGTTGCTATACCGCATCCAGGTTTTGAAATACCAAGCTGCAAGTAGTTAAGACCTAGAAGAAAAGAGGCACAAAAGTCACAGAATCTCTGGGATCATCGGTAAAGAATTCCAAAGGGCTCTGGGCACCCTGACCATCTATTTTGAATGTAAAGGGGACTAACAGCTATGTAGACACTCTTTTTCTTACTCATGGGGCACACCCTGCAGAGTGTGGCAGGACCTTGGAGAAAGTCAAGTTTTGGGAATGTAAGCTCCGATGAAGATATAAGATAAAATCAAATTGCTTCCACAAGAGAGGCCCTGTATCAAGCTCCATTCATGGGAGATAAAGGGGAGGGGTCAGGATCACTTGGGCAGGAAGTGGCTCCCAGCCCCTTGAAGCCATAGGATTGGTACTCACTGTATTCCACTGACCTTCCGTAGGGCAAAGCCACGCTGCCCGTTGCTGACTTTATTTCAGGATTCTGAGCACGTGAAACAACTCGAAGGACTTGTTTTTAGAATGAAGGAAATCGTTTTACACAGACAGAGAATCTGCTTAGCATTATGTGTTCCTGGGAAAACGCTGCACTCTGGACGGTGGACTTACCCTCACCTCCTGTAATGAGGTCCTGTTAAAGCTGAGGAAGGGAATAGAGAAGTCTGTTCCGGTCTAGAGATAGAACACACCTCAGGGCCTGGGCGACACCTGTTAGGACGGTGGAAAGGAAGAGGGAATGGAAGGGATTCAGGAAGATGAGAATCCCTGTTGAGGCCCAGATTGTTAGAAACCTTTGTTTTGTGCTGTGGGGCAGTCTTCATGGGGCAGTGTTCCTGAAGAAGTATTTTCTGGGCACCCCTGTTCCACACCACAGCGAGGCAAAGTCAGTTCCTGATCTGTCAGTCCTGCTACGCTTCGTAAGGCGAATCTGTTTACAGAACTTGAGCTGAGTTTCCCACCACATAACTTAGAAGGCGCCCACCAGCTTACATGTTTTCGGTTTTGACAGTTTATAATAGAGATACCCTTTTTTGGTTTGGTTTTCGAGACAGGGTTTCTCCGTGTAACAGCCCTAGCTGTCCTGGAACTTGCGCTGTAGACCACGCTGGCCTTGAACTCACAGAGATCCGCCTGCCTCTTCCTCCCCACTGCTGGGATTAAAGGTGGGTGCTACCACCTCCCGGCAGAGGTGCCCTTTTTCATCTGTTTTGTGTGGTCTCTATTTTGCAGTCTCTTCTGCTGTGCTGGCTACTCTTGGTCCAGTCACTCGACACAGCCGGGGAGAAGGAGCCTCCGCTGAGGCGTCTCCTCTATCAGTTTGGCCTGTGGGCCCGCTTATGAGCCATTTTCTTGATTGTTAATTGAAGTAGGGGAATCCCACCCACTGTGGGCAGTGCTACCCCTGGGCAGGAGGTTCTGGGTTGTACAAGAAAGTTTGCTGAGCGTGAGCACGAGGAAGAAGCCAGTAAGAAGTGTTCCTTCGTCAGAGTTGGCCTTCAGCTCAGGCCTCAGGTTCTTGCTGTGGCTTTCCCCAATGATGGGCTGTAATCTGCAAGCTAAACAAAACCGTTTCCTCTCCATATTGCTTCAGGTTAAGGTGTTTGCCGGCGTCAGAGAAGCAAACTAGAAAGCCTGACTTTGATGGCTGTGCAAACGATTGTTATTCTTTCTGAAAAGGAATATTGCCCCTCAGTAATGTATACTGTCTCTTCAAGAACTGTCTGCAGTGCCATTCAGCCTCTGATTGCAGCTGTGTAAACCTCGGTCAACATGGTTGCTAGACAACACAATCACACAGTTCATTTATGAGCAGTTAAATTGATCACAAAAAATTGACTCTTTAGCTCATAATATCTGTCTTTTATATTTTGGAAAACAGTGTAGCTCTTTTTATTATTCTGCAAGGAAAATCAGCCCATTAAAAGTTTTCATATTTTTAACAGGAGGAATCCTTGGACTTTGTTCAGCAGTCTTGTCTCTTGTGGTCGTCACTCAGACATTTTGCTTTTCAGACTGTAGCACACTGAACTGAAATGTCCTTGTCTTTCACAGATAGGCCGCCTGTATTCCAAACTAGACAGAAAGCAGCTTGTGACCCAAGTGACGAAGTGGAGATATTGTTAGCTAAATTTGTAAGAATACATACACGCTCATGCACACACACACACACACACACACACACCAGCTAAGCAATTAGGGGCTGGCCTGGCTAGAAGTGGGCTAGAGACTAGGCCTCCTGGCTTGTCTGGGCACACCTGCCACTCTCTATATAATGTCTTCAGAACAATGTGCAGGGATAGAGAGATGAAGTATTACATGCTTATATATTTTAAGAATTAATAACCTAGGAATTAGAAAAAAACGCCCCATCTTAATTATAAAAGTTCAAGGAATAGATGAAATATGAAGGAAAAGTATAAACGAAAAGGGCAGCGTTCACCCTTCTACCACGGGATGAGCTTTGCTGCTATAGCATGGTGGTGTGGTGTGTGGCTGAACGCCTGTGATCCGTACACTTAGGAGGGAGAGGCAGAAGGGTGGGAATCCAAGGTTCTTCTTGGCCACACAGCCTGGGCTACATGAAGCCATGCCTTAAAAAATATATATATACATAGAAAACCCACTCAGGATCTGAACTGAGATGCCTAGTGAAGTCATTGTGAATAGTCTCAAGTAGAAATATGATTTTAATCCAGACATTTTTTTCCCCTGTAATCTGGGACTTTGCTGGCTATCGCTTGACTGACCATCTAAAAACACTGACTGTAGTTGCGACAATGAACTCAATGTCTTAACAAAACAACAAAATAGATTCCTGTCCACGAGTTATGTTTGCCTTGAGAAATGCCAGTTCTCGTTCCAGATGATGTAAAAAGATGGCCTCCATGAAAGCTTGTCATGTCTAGAACAAAGGTCGTCTGGAATGGCGGACAGCCAGATTTGGTTTGGGGTTGAACACCTTGTTTAGTTTCATTTTAAACTGGAGCTGATCTCAAGCTCTATATGATAAATAATATCAATAGAGATATAATAGTGAGTTAACATGTAGACATTTTAATTTCTGAGTAATTCCCCAGGTTTGCTTCAGTGGAGTTGACCTTGCACGGGTCTTTATTGAGCACAGACCGTGAGTTAGGCAGCTGAAAAGACAAGTTGATCCCAACTGAGAAAACAAGGGCGGATGTTAGGGCTGGGTCCAGTATACACCGCTATCCGTGGTGAAGCTGGGACCTGGCCCTGGCTTCTTGCTGAAAGACAGGATGGGGTAAAAACTGAGAACCCTCACTGTGTGGACGGGCCACATGGGTTCAGATGTCACACCTGCCCTATTTGGCGGTTTAACCCAAAGCAAGTTGCTTAACATCTCTCCGTTACGGCTTGCCAGAGATTGAGAACATTTACAAAGCACTGAGAAGCTGGTAGAGACACAAGCTCCTCAACCTTCCGCTCAATACATAGGATTCCTCCTGTCTCCACACGGGCCTACAGCCTACCGCCTTTCTCTCTCCAGGGGAATGGTCCTGTGTTTTGCCACTATCGCCTTCATGAGGCAAAACCATTGTCCATCTGTCCTCTGTCCTGCAGGACTAAAATGGTCACCCAGAAAACCATGACTTTCAGTAGCCACTCCCACTGCCTATTCTGGTTATCTAGAAAACAAAGACATGAAACTGATTCAAACACAAAGATTACTAATGAAAGACTCTGAAGAAAAGTTTTACTAATTCTTTATAAGATACTGCAGACCATTTTAAGGATAACACAGGGAGGGTCATTACATCCCCCCCCATATATGTGGATACTAACGCAGTCAGCAGTTTCTGAGAGACAGTGGTCTCATGGTTACTCTAGAGTCGGGTGGCCAGCAGTGCCACATGGCTGACCATTGGGCACCCCCCTTTTCTACAAAAAAGTCTTTATTTTATTGTTGTATTTTCACATGGTCCTGAAAGAGGGCAAGTGATTTATTCTAAAAATGTAGATACAGAGTAGATGAACCCACTTTTAGAGTTTAAATGACCCTACTCAACGTAGAGTAGAGATGAGTACTTAGACTATGAGATAAAAATAGACAGCAGGGGCTGGGGAGACGGCTCAGCGGTTAAGAGCACTGGCTGTTTATCCAGAGGTCCTGAGTCCAATTCCCAGCATCCACATGGTGGCTCACAACTGTCTGTAACTCCAGCTCCAGGACATCTGACACCCTCACACAGATCTACACACAGTTAAAACACCGATGCACATAAAATAAAAATAAATAAATCATTTAAAAAACCAGACACCAAAAAATGCTGAACGACAGGCTATATCAGCTCCCTCAGTGTGGTTTGTTTTGTTTGTTTGTTGAATCAAAGGTCAATTGGTGCTTGTGTTCTATTGTGAATTGATGAATCCATCCTTTCTTGTGAACTGTTCGCCTTGCAGAGTTTAAACATCTTCCAGAACCTAAACAAGCGGCAGTTTGAAACAGTGATCCATTTGTTTGAGGTTGCAATCATAGCGACTGACCTGGCGTTGTATTTCAAGTAAGTATAAGGATGGGGGTCAGAATGCTCCTGAGCCTGGCGTGGTTTGGCCTTCCATGACCCGCACTGAAGTTAAAAGAGATGGCTCATTCCTTGTGAGCGTTTGATATTCTTGCAGAGGACTGGAGTTGGATTCCCAGGATCCACACTCACAATGGCCTCTGACTCTGGCTTCAGAGGTATAATGTTCCACCTGGGCTCTGTAGGCATCCATGCATATGCATACATTTTTTAAAAGCAGGCTCAGAAATCTCCTTTCTTTTTGGAACGGCAGTTATCCTCAAGATAGTTGACTGAGAGTGAACTTACTCTATATGGAGATAAACTTTGAAAGCACAAGCCTGCCCTGTTAAATAGCTCTTGATCTGAGGCGGCACAGAGGGAACAGCGGTGCCCAGCCTGAAGAAGAAGGTCATGAAACTGCACGCCATGGCGATGTGTCCTGGTGATTCCCCATGGTCCAGGGGCTAGTTTGTAACTGGGTTTGTTCAGAGGTAGAATGCTTGCCCAGAATCTGGTATGTGCTACTTCAGGCTCAGAAATTTAATCCTGTGAGAGTTTTGGATTGAACAATCTTGATGATTCTAACACACAAAGTAAACTCACAGAACCTGAGTTTTTACACAGCAGAGGACGAAGGAGACCAGATATGCCAAGTCTATACACATTCTCTCCTAAGTGAAATGAAGTTTCATGGTGAACGTTAATTAGAAAGAGGTGGGCTATTTATAGGATCCAAATATTTGGTGACTTTGGCACTGTCAAATTTTGCCCTGATCATCCTCCTTAAAACTCTATTAAACAGCCCAGCTATGATTACAAATGCCTGGGATAACATCATGGTATCCAGACACCAAGGGCTCACACCCCACCAGTGGGAACCCATCATGTCATAAGTGCTTCAGAATTGCGAGGTTTTTTTTTTTTTTTTGTTTTTGTTTTTGTTTTTGAGGAAGGGTTTCTCTCTGCAGCTCTGGCTATCCTGAAACTCACTCTGCAGACCAGGCTGGCCTCGAACTCATTGAGATCCGCCTGCCTCTGGCTTCTAAGTGCTGGGATTAATGGCTTGCACCGCCACCACCTGGCTCAGAATTAAGTTTTTAAGGGCAGATGCAGAACCAGTGTTGCAGCTGGGGCACTCCCGCCATGGAAAATCCTCTTACTTTCTAGAGAGAGCCATCTGCTACTGAAATGCTCCATCTTTTCCACTCATGCTTCTACGTGGCATTGCTGGGTGCATCTCGAATTCTCCCCCATCTATGACACCATACTGTCTGTTAATATCTTTCTGCAGCTCGCTTTTCCCACACAGCATTTTGTTTTAAAGATTTGCCTTTGGTGACATGACACTTCTAGATTGATTAAAAATATTCATGTTGAAGCACTTCAAGTGGATGATATGGCATTCACTAACACGTCAGATTCAAGACAAGACCCTGAGGAAACAACCATGCAATTTAAAATTAGTGAAAGGGCCGGCAAGTGGGGGAATAAGTAAGGCAGATGCTGTTTAAGTACCGAGATCCGAGTCTGTATTCCTCTGCACCACTGAGAGTGACAGTGACCAACTGGAACCCCAGCATAAGGAGGGACTGTTAGTGAGGACAGCTGGGAAGATGTCCACCTCTGGGTTTTACACAGAGATAGATGGGTACTCCCCTCCCCCCCACAAACAAGTACACATACAGAGACAGATAGATAGATAGATAGAGGATAGATAGATAGATAGATGATAGATAGATAGATGTAGATAGATGATATGTAGATAGATAGATAGATATAGATAGATGATATGTAGATAGATAGATAGATAAATATAGATAGATGATATGTAGATAGACAGATATATAGATAGATAGAGATAGATAGATGATATGTAGATAGATAGAGAGAGAGAGATAGAGAGAGATAGATAGATGATATGTAGATAGACAGATAGATGATAGATAGAAAGATAGATAGATGATAGGTAGATGGATAGATAGATAATAGATAGAGAGTAAATTGAAAGAAAAGATTTGCCATTGGTAATACACAGAGTCAGTTCACTTGCTTCAGTTGTACTGCATTTAACCACTGGATAGACAATAACACCCTTACACTCCTACACATAGTAAGTTCAGATTGTGTATTATCTCCAACATCGTCCACAAGGCTACATTGCAGATCACTGTGCACATATGTGGGTTTCTATACATAACGGTGGGAGTATGGTGGGGTACATATGAGTTTTGTGCGTATGCCGCCTTGCAGAGTTGGGCTCCACCATTTACATCCTATCTGCAGCACGTCAGGGCCCTCTGATCCCATATCTGAAGTACCCTGATCTGGACACATTGGATTTCGGTTTGCTCACTTATTGAGTATGAGAAGATACCCTACTGTTTAGGTCTGTATTTCCCATGTGTGAGACCAATCATCCACGTACTTTGGCTTCCGTGTGTTTGTTGGGCAGTGTGTTATGATGGTACAGCTCCTGGCCTTTGTGTTTCTGTTGTGCTTTTTCCTCGTTCGAACTTTTGGTTTTACTGTATTCCAACTTTCATGGATTCTCCCCACTCTGTGGTTTGTGCTTTTTCTGCCTCCAGCCCCTCTCTGTGCGGAGATAGTCAGAACTGCCTGACTCTCAGCCCCTGCTAGGCAGACAGCCTAAGGCAGAGTCGAACACAGACTATGAAAAGCGCACCCTAAAGATCCTTTTCTGTGCAAAAGTTGATGCACAGCTGCATCTTTTCCAGGAAGAGAACCATGTTTCAGAAGATTGTTGACGCCTGTGAGCAGATGCAAAGCGAAGAAGAAGCCATCAAATACGTAACCGCCGACCCAACCAAAAAGGAGGTCATTATGTGAGCAGTCAGAATATTAATTCCTTTTTTTTTTTTTAGCAAAACAGCACGTTTTATATTTTTTTTCTAGTTTAATAATTTTTCTTTTCTTCATAAGGGCCATGATGATGACTGCCTGCGACCTGTCTGCCATCACCAAGCCCTGGGAGGTACAGAGTCAGGCAAGTCCCATAGCCTTGCTGGTCTGTCACACACCTGTGACCCTGTCACACGCCTGTGACCTGTCTGCTATCATTAAGCCTTGGGAGGTGCAGTCAGGCAAACCCCACAGCATTTCCTGTCACACACCTGTCTGCCATCATCAAACCCTGGGAAGTGCAGACTCAGGCAAGTCCCAAGGCATTTCTTTTCTTGACACACACCAGGCCCTGCCTAGATCCCATGGAAAGCCACACAGTGATCTCTGGCAACCCCGGAGTCCTATTCTGATTTTTACAAACAGCAACGGGTCAGCAGGTCATTGGAAACACAGAAGGCTTTGAAAAGAAAATGGAGGGGGGTGAAAGTGGGGGACAGAATTCCTTATTATTGGCTATAAAATGTTTATGTGGAATTCACCAGGCATGGTCATTCAGACCTGTAATCCGACTGCTCATGAGGAGGCTGAGGCAGGAGGATACAGGATTCAGTGATAGCCTGGGCTACTTAAGACCCATCAAGAACCCTCCAGGAGGAAGAAAACCCTTCCTATTTCAGAATAACCTGGAAGTGGCACTTATATAACCTTATAACTTCAGGGCAGCCTTCTTGATGACGCCTCAAGCACTGACTGGAAATCCTACCCTCGGATGTCACTCATGCTAACGTGACAAAAGCTCTCTGCTAATCGTGGGTACCACAAACCATGCCTCTGTTCTTTGCAGGTAGCACTTCTGGTTGCAAATGAATTTTGGGAACAAGGCGACTTGGAAAGGACAGTGCTGCAGCAGCAACCGATTGTAAAGACCTTGTCATTCCATGTTACGCGTTCAAAACCATCCGTAAATCACAGGAAGCCATCTTAAAGGGGTCTCTTCTCTTTCTAGCCTATGATGGACAGAACCAAAAAAGATGAACTCCCCAAACTTCAAGTGGGATTTATTGATTTTGTTTGTACTTTTGTATATAAGGTATGTAAACAAATTATTTGAATGAACTGTATAGTTATTTCAATGATAATTTTTCTTTCAAACTATAACTAGAGTGAGCCAGGTGTGGAGGTGCATACCTGTAATCCCAGCACTAAGGAGGCAGGGGGATCAGAGTTCAAAGTCATCTTGGTAAGTTTCAGGCCAACTTGGGCTATACAGCAAGACCTTGCCTAAAAAACAAACAAAAGTAAAAAAAAAAAGTTACCAATGAAGAAAACCATTAGGCCATTTCCTCCGTAGTATTTTGAGCACTGAATTTGATTTATTCAGAGTGGAATAAAAAGCACAAGAGCCACGCACAAACCCCCTTGACATCAAAGAGCACCTACCTGCCTTCCCCACCCTTCAGAAGCACCCAGGCTCATCCCAGAAGCTCCAGACACCGCCCACCCCCCAGCTTCTCCTCCACAGATGAACATTACTGAAAGTCAACTGTAGGACGAACTAGTTTCCCATCTCAAATTCTCCGCAGGAGTTCTCCCGCTTCCACACAGAGATTACGCCCATGCTGACCGGCCTTCAGAAGAACAGGGTCGAATGGAAATCGCTCGCAGAGGAGTACGAGGCCAAGGTGAGGGTGGCGGAAGAGGAGGCAGGGAAGCAGGAAGAAGGAGCCACGGATGAGAAAGGTTAGCCGGAGCCTGAGTCTGCGTGTGTGAGTGTGGGGGCGGCTGAGTGGGTGTCACATGACAAAAACACAGACCGTTAGTGCTAGTAGGAACCCTGCTTGGCCGATCCAGGCAGGTAAGTGTAGGAAGTTATCTCCAAGCTCTTACCTCTGAGGGAGAGCTGGGCATTAAGCAACCAATGCATAATCTGACAGCGAGCCTTGGAGAAAACATGGGGTGTGTACTAAGAGCAGAGGAAGGCTTCCTCGAAAGGGATTGTCTGTGCTGAGGTCCCAAGACCCTAAGCCCCAACCCACACAAAGGAGCAGAAGTGGGGCAGGAGAAAACGAAATAGGGCATGTAAAATAACTACTGGATGGCCTAGAGGGATGGCTCAGCCGGCAAAGGCGAGGCTCACAACCAAAATAACTACTGAAGTGGGAATAAGCTTGGGGTAGCAGAACCATTTAAAAACACGTCTGTGTATAGTCAAGAGAGGGCAGAAGCCCAAGTACCAGATGAAGATGGCAGTGTGGGCAGCTGACCTACAGAACATAGCCTGCAGTCAGCCGCATTACACAGTCGGCAGGGGCTGCACAGGACGGTCTGAGCCGCACTCCAGGAAGGCAGCAGAGATCTTGACTAAGTGTTTGTTAAACTTGTGAAGTTACTTTGTCTCTTTCGTTAGAAGGTGAGCCCAAGAGAAATCCTAGGACTAAGAAATTTGATGAGAAAGATACTGTCCCCTTTTCCAAGTGGCTCCTATATTTATTGTCAGCATTCTTTAATACAATATTTCTGTCAATTCTTTGAGAATTTCATGTAGATGCACAACGCATTTTGGTCATTGTGACTCCAACCCCTCCCCTGATTCCTCCCAGAGTGGACACAGGTCTTCTCTCCGTCATTTGCATACATTTGTTTCTAATTTCTGTCTATTTCTTGGAGAGCTCATTGAGAATTAAGACCATTGGTTGTGCTCCTGGGTTTCAGTGTTTGCTCCTCCAGCTGAGAGTCTAACTTGTTTAATTTCACTGAAACAGAAACGGTAACTGCTTATCAAGTTTTATTTTATTTATTTATTTTTTTGAGAGAGCCTATGCAGCTGTCTAGAACTCACAGAGATCAGCCTGTCTCTGTCTTCCGAGTGCTGGGATTACAGGTGTGTACCAATGCACCCGGCACCTGGGTACCTATATACTTTTTTTTTTTGAGTCACACACTGCCTTTGCCTCCCAAGTGCTGGAATTAAAGGCATGTATCACCACACCCTGTTCTTTTTATTTTTCAATTTCCCCCCCAATTTATGTGTACGAATATTTTGCCTGTATGTGCATGCGCCTGATGTACAGAGATCAGATTTGGATCCCTTGGAATGGGTCCCTACCGATGGTTGTGAGTGAGCCACCATGTGGGTACTGAGAATCAAATCTGAGTCCTCTGCAATAGCAACACGTGCTCTAAACTGAACCATCTTGCTAGCTCCTTTGAATTTTAAAGTGAGCCAAATGTGAATAAGAAATTGGCTGTAAACAGTCAAACCCTTGGAGTTGCTATAAGCTAGTGTTATCTTGAAGTAGTTATAAGCTAGAATTATTAATTATAAATCTGACACAGATATCATGAGAATCTTGGAATAAAAGTATTTATCACACTGACTGCTGATGTTTTTTCTGGTCTTTCACTAGCTGCCACAGATTTCGGAGGTAGCACCGAAGACAAAAAGTCCAAAACGTGCTTAATGTTGTAATATGATCCAGCTGGTCGATATTTCAAGTATCGTCTTAGTTTCCATGAAAAAATATTCAGAGGAACCTCGCTGTAGCCCTGCAGTAACAGAACAGCAACATCTCCAGGAACACTGCCCTGTGACTATCCACAGCATATACTGTTGACCTGGAAACCCCACGAGCTAAATAAAGTTCAATCAAAGAACAAAATATAACAAAAGCAATGCATTTTATGCCAGTTTCTCTTAAATTAAAAAATATGCTTTCTTGATATGTATGTGTCTGAATGAGTCTATGTGACATGTGTGTCTCTGCTGGTGTAGGGCAGAGGAAGGCTTCATATCCACACAAACTTGAGTTACAGGCAGCTGTGAGCTCCCTGGCATGGGTTGTGGGATCCCAGCTGGGGTCCTCGGGGAGAACAGTAGTGCTAGTAACTATGGCCTGAGCCTCAAGTATTAAAAAATATGACAATGTAAGGAACCAGAGCATGAAGCAGCTGGCCAATATTTCAAGTATCATCTTAGTTTCCAAGAAAAAATATTCAAAAGAACCTCGCTGTAGCCCTGTGGAGTCAATCACCTCATCACCTCAGACTTTGCAGCCGCCTTCACATAGGACTCCCATCATCAGCCACTGTGCTAGATCGCTGCAGGGAGCTCCAGCAGAGTTGCAGCTGGTTTGCTTTCCAGGTGTTAGCTCTTAGTTTTAAGCTGTCTTTTGTGACTGCTACCTTTTTGTCTCCAGTACTTTCCCTTTGAAATATGTGAATCTTGTCTGGTGGTTTTTTAAAGGTGCAAAGCCTATGCAAAACTTGGCTGGGGAGAACCTGGCCAACCGAGATAGATGCCCCTTAGCTGGGAATTTGCATTTGGCATTGTCTCTTTGGGGAGCTTAGATAAGAGGTTTTGGGATATGGAAATTAACTTGCTAAAGGTGTAAATTGGATTAATGATTAAAAAAAAAAAAAGCCCTTTGCTAAGCTATAGAGAGTCAGTCTGCCAGAGGCTGATCCCCTCCAGCTGGAAAGGCTAGACACCATCCTCAGAGTGCCTGTGTCTCCTTCACGTGGACCCCTGAGAACCACACCCAACACACAACAGATTGCTGTGATTTTTATATAATTATCTGAATTCATACTTGGACTTAATATCATCAACTGTATTTATTTCAAAATATATTGTTCTATGGGAAAACAATGCATAGTCTTCCCAGCATTTCATTTTGCAGAACTCTATCTTCTGATGATCGCAGGATGATGAAAATACCTTCATTGTAAGAATGCTTAGCTACGGGAATTCCAGTACTAATAACTTTGGTGTTGGACATTTCAGATAATTTCCCTCAGAAATCAAGATTCCTTTTTACTCACCTTAAGTGGTAAGCTGAAAACACCTTTAAGAAATAAGGAACTTTTACGCAATATTTAACATCAGTACACCTGACACTAATTTACTATTTTCTGACAGTTCAGAAAGGATTGCAAAATTACTTCTGAAATAGCTCAGCACAGTGCCTCGTGCCTAATAGAAGCTGGGCCAGCAGTTACAGAGCAAATGAACAACTGTCCGATAAAAGGAAAAACTCTTGACACCAACCATTTAAAATTAGACACGAAATAATTTATTTACAGTTTACTGCCAACCACTCATGTTCAAATGTCACTTAAAACAGTGTATCATATTGGAAAGCTATGGACAAAACAGATTTGTAGAAAAGCAACTGAGACACTACACGAGTGAAGGAGGAAGTGTCTGAAACAGTCTGTCCTGGTGGCTGTCCAGACTCAATAGCACGGACAAGTTCACGGAGTTTCACGGTACACTTCCTCACTAAGGAATGATGTGCTCTCCCAGTTCACAGAAACAAGTCCTGAAAATAATCATCAAATTCTTCTTCCCTATTAAAAAAAGTACAAACATGGATTATACTCAAGAGTACTCAAAATAATAAAAACTAAATAAAAAATCAATAGCGTAAAAAGATACATTTATATGAGACTAATAAAAATAAAATCCTTTCAGTATAAGAGCTGACCATTCTACATATCAATATGTTTTTATAATTCAAATAATTCTGAGTTTCTAAACAATCATCTATTCTCAAAATTGTTAAAATTGGAATATCTCACATGCTGGTACCTCTCTCAAAAGCCCTCAAGTTTTCTTTGAAATACTTTTGTGAAACAACATTGCTTGTCTTTGCTTTTTTGGTTGACTTTATACCTTTTCTGTTCAAATTCTAATTTCAAATTCTAATCTGCTTAAGAAATGCATGGAACAGAAACTATGTTTAAAAAAATACAAGTCTTACTGTCAGGGATGTGAGGACATTTGAGAATAGTAAATATGTATTTGTAGCTCGTAAGGGTATGTCTAAGAGAAAGAAGAGAACTCTGAGTAGAACCTGCCACTACTGCGAGGAGCATCAGTGTTTGCAGCCGGCCTCAAGCAGCCAAGCGGCCCAGGCTCTGAAGTCAGCAGAGGCAGCGAGCAAGTGCTCGAGTTATCTGTTGTTGGGAGGCTGGGCTGAGTGCTGGCAAGGATTTCCACAGCTGTGTAAACCTTCATGGGGCTCCTCAGCATGGGTCCTGAGAATGTAACATCATGGGACAGGCTGTCCTAGATGCAAGTGAGCAGCCGCCTCAGAAGGAGTCCAAGCAGGAACAGAGGGCTGTCTGTTCCAGTGAAGTGATGCTGGGCCCACTGCCTCCTTACGGCCAACAACAATGGCTGGTAATAGACTTTCACCTTGCCAGGGAAGGGAGTCTTTGGCACTAAATTTTCATGGCATTAACTATTTTCATTAGCTGATACCAAGAACAGCTGTATCCACAGCCCCTAAGCTGACGCAGAAGGCAGCATCTACGAATCTAGCACTTACTGTGACTTTCCATCTGTCTCTGGCAGGGGACCCTTCCAGAGCTCGGACTCTGAAGCACTGTCTTCCTCATCAGTGTTTCCTGCTCATTTAGAAGAAAATGTTTTGTTTTAACATAACACATTTTGAATCATTTACCAGTGCAATTAAATTAACTATCAATTTAACAGCAATTTCTACAATTCCCTGGAAATTTAAGTTATCCCTCCAGATACAATAATTTAAAAGTTAAACAATACAAGAAATACCAGAGTTTCAGCAAAAAGGGCACATTTTAGGAACACCTTCCCCATGTAACACTGAACAAAACTAGCAGCTGATTTAGTTATTTCCTCGGGCATAGAAGAGAAATGAAATGAAGATTCACATCGAGACCACATCTGGATTAGGACCAACGGTTGTCACTGAAGAGGAGTCACCAAGTTAATCATGGGTGGTCTATCTGCACATTATCCAACACTGAGTAAATTTCAGTTGAATATTAGGTGATTCATTTGAGGTCTACTTTTTAGTATTCTTAAAGAGGAATATATTATTTTTACTATATTAGAGGTAATAAGTGCTCACTGTCTAAAATAAGAGCGATTTGGAAATGTTTAAAGTACAGAGGAAAAGTTATTCCGAGCTTACAGGTAATACGATCATTATTTAAGTCTGGTTGGCCCTTACAAATTATGACACATAACATACACATTTTTAAATAAATTGGATTGTACTGTGTATATTTTCTGTAACTATAAAAGATCTGCGATAGCACAGTTTTCCTTCACTATAATTAAGAATTTTTTAAAGAATTGATTTTATTTTTAATGTTGCACATGTGTGCACAGGTTCCTACAGAAGCCTGTCGTGTCAGAGCTCCCAACAAAGGTCCCGGCAATTGAACTTGGGTCCTCTGTAGACCACTATATGCTTCAAGCACAGAGCCATCTCTCTAGTCCCACGAAAGCTTTAAGCAAACAAACAAAAAACAAAATAAAAACAGTTATATAAATTTTGATTAACCAACCTTCAATTCCTGAATAGTGGAAATTTAGGCTGTTTTCTTTTTTTATTTTTATCAAGGGGGTCAGTGATAGTGATTAAACCCAGGGTCTTAAAAAATGCCGGCGAGGGCTCCACAGTGGGACCACAGCCTAGCTGAATTGTTTCTCTTGTTGCACGGTGCACATTACTGTCTGCATTTATCTGGGTGCTTACCTATTCCAAATAAAATATCAAATTCTAAAAGTAGCACCACTGGCAACCAAACATGCGCTCTAAAGCAGCTATAGGGCCAGACTTTCCTCCAGAAGAAAGGTTACTCAGTTTCCACTCTTTTGAACAGCTGTTATAATTAAAGTAATAAACATCATTTTTATAAATGTCTGGCACATGTTTTTTCGTAAGGTAACTGCTGTTTTACACAGAGGCTGGGTCTCTCATGTGCTCACCCTAACACAACGTGCTCTTTACAGACCTTAACGTCCACGACTTTGATGACTAACAGACACTAAGTCAAGAATGACATTGCAAGAGATAATCCCCTTGGAGGAGTTAACACTGCAGTTCTGACTTAACCCAGATTTGGCTTGCCAGTACAGAATGTCCCTCGGCTCAGCACAGCACAGCACAGTACAAAAATAAAGCAGCATTGATTTGCCACGGTGGTGCTAGCCTTTTACCCGCTGGACTCTGATCCTTGAATCAATGTGTATGCCTGAACTTTGATCCTAACTGAGTCTGTCGTGGCACCGATTTTAACAAATAGCAGGGGGAGGGTGCAGTCTAATGAGCTATGTACACAAGGTGATGAAACTAAAAAGTCTTGGAGGAAGATGTCTGTTCTGTGACAGCCATTACTACAATTCCCAGTATCCTGAACAGATCACACAAGAAGAAAGAATAAAATCTTCCACTCACTGAGATTAGAAATAACGGAAAATATTATGCCTAATAAAGTCATCTCTCTGGCATTACTGTTAAGATGTCAGAGAACAGAATCTACAGGGCCTTCCAAATCTAGCAGCTGATTTAAAAAAGTTTTACCTTACAAACTGCTGTTGCTTACTCTTGTTCCCTTCCAAGAATATTTTCCACAAGTCAGCTTCCTCTCCCCAATTTCCTTTGTGTGAGTGTATTTGTCTATGTGTGTGTGCATGCATGGAAAAGCATGGAGGCCAGAGGTCAGTGCTGTTCCTTGGGTGTTGTCCACCTTGTTTTTTGGCCTTCAACTCACTATGCAGGTAAGGCTGGCTGACAAGGACCCAGAGATCTGCCTGTCCCCACTCCCCAGCAGGAAGACTCAAAGTGTGTGGTACACACCTGAGCATTTCTCTTTACACTTATTTGTGCACATGCGCATGCAGGTGTGCACATGCAGGACACAGTATGGAGAG